AAATATGTTAATCCGCATTTTTAGCAAAGTTGAAACTGTATAAGCAGCTTCAAGAACAATCGTATTATGATTCGTGTTTACTTAATTTAGTATAAAACATGGAGGTACGACTCTCTAAAGTTAAAAGCAAAAGTAGCAAAGTGCAGGAGGGGCCCGAGCTCTTTATTTCTGCACTCACATAGTAAGCGTCATACATTCTCGTAAAAAGTAAAGTCCACATCAAAAATTTCAAACAGAATTTTAAATGCGCAAAGCAGAGAAGATTTAAATAATGAAATAATGAATTCATAAATATGTATTTAGGCAAATAATTGTTTCTTTCCTGATTGTACTTTAGCTCTTAGTAGCTCATTTCGCCGGTCAGATGATAAATCGTTATTTGAGTTGCTCGAAACCTCTATTTTCAAAAAAAAATAAGATCGAAACACCTCAGAACAAACCACCGAGTACATAAAGCAATTACTGAGTATCGATTATATTGTGCAAACTATTTTCGCCTATACCGATGAAAATATCTCAGAAAATCCGTGAAGAGAAAAAATATCGCTTCCGTATCAGTTAAGACTAAGAAAATCCCTCGAAAAATCCTTACTTTCGTGTGAATAGAAAAATATATGGAAACGATTTCATTTTGTTCTCAAATATACAGTCTGTTTCACTTAAAGTCGGTACACTTCCGTATTTAAGAAGGCGTTGGCCGATTTCTAAAATTCTTTTTTTTATATGGTTGTACTCAAAAAGGTACTCTGATCTTTTCTACAGCCTACTATCGATAAAAAAAGACCCTCAAAATTAAAAAACATATTAGGCATTTTGTAATACAAAATTTAATTTTTGTAGCGTTTACAGGGTGTTCACAAAATAGGTGCATTCCAAAAATTTCACTCATTGCAGAATGTCCTGTATTAACAGTGGAAATATTTTCAAGGTATTTTTTCATAATTTTATTTACCGAAGATCCATGCAGTTTCATTGATTTCACTCATACAGGGTGCTCATAATAAGATATATTTTTTTTTATTATACCAGAAATGAGTTTCATAACGAAATAAAACTTAAATATTACCTTTTTCTATTAGTCCACCATCATTTGGTATGCACTGTCCAATTCGTCTCCTATTGTTTCTAATAACTCCTCAATTGATGTGGTGTTATTTTTCGACATGCTTGTCTAATTCTATTACATAAATCTTCTCTGTTCTGGGGCCTTGTTTTATACAATTTATTTTTCACAGTTCCCCATAAAAAGACATCAACAGGCGTCAAGTCTGAAGCTCTTGACGGCCACTCAACCGTTAGTTGACAATCCTTTTTGTCGCGATCTATCCACTTTCTCGGGAAATTCTCATTCAACCAATGACGTACCATTACCGCATTAATAGGTGCTCCATCTAGTTGAAGGTAAAGGTTCTCTCTTACATACATGAAGAGGAAGTGCATGTAAATCCCAGAAATCATTATTTAAAAAAATAAAAAAAAATTCTGCGTATAGATTAACGTTAAAAAAGATTTATGTAATATAATAATTAGACAAGCATGTCGAAATACGATGACCTTGAAAATATTTTAGCTTGGTAGGCTCCACAGTCCGTATCACACCATCACAATTTCAAAAAAATCCTTCGAGCGGTTTCCCAGATATCCATCGATGGAATTCGTGGTATATGTACGGTTAAAGTGTTTACTTGGTTAGTTTGTATCCTAGCCAAGTAAACTCTTTAACCGTACACATACATATTTTTTAATAGCTATAATTCATTATTGATTATAATATTGTTTTTGGGAAGAAGAAAACGCCAACATAGATATTGGGTTGGATCACTTAAATAGAAAAACACTAAACAGACTTGAGTTTCAAAACACGTCGAAACCTTTTGATGTGACCGCTTTCGAGCGGGACCCGAAAAACAAAACTCCAACTGTCGCAAAACACGCCAGTCTTCAAAAAGTTTACGAAAAGTTATAGTTTTGTTTTATTCGACACAAGTTTGTGTTTTGTTTTTGTTTTGTCCGTTTAGTGGAAAACCGCCTTAAGACTTTGCACCCATAAAGACATTAATCAGGACGTCGAGATACGTAACATATAAAAAAATTCAGCCAATTTAACCGGGAGCCATTTCCCATAAGGTTTGTGCGGGGTCCTTTATAACTGAACTTTCGGAATTTTTAATCATTAAATTGTTTTTATATCTAATTGCAATTGTAAAAAGAACTTTCTATAATTTTATAGATATTTTTTATTTGTAATTCAATTATGAATCAAATGGACTGATCCAATGTCAGAAATATTTTCCTAGAAGAGTCGAAATTATGAGGTTTTTAGTCACGGTATCTTTCAACATTTGCACCACTGGTTGATGTAATTGTATACAAATTTAGAGAATTTGTATATGTACTTAGTTAAGCCCGATTTTCGTCAATCTATGTCAAACACCTCTTGACATATTGGCGTAAATCTGACATTTCTAATAGCTGTTTTACATTGACAATTTATTGATCAATTAATTCATGAAGTCCCTTCATCAAGAAATTGGACAAGTGTAATGCACCAAATCTGCTGTCAAATAACTTCATGAATTTATTCATCAAGTTCTTGACGAACTAGAGCATGTTCTAATGTTCCTCAATTTCTTCGTGAAGTTCGGAAGTACCAACCCAACAAATTTCTAGCCTCAGATCAGTAATGAGGTTATGTTATTGGAATATGTAAATAATTGTGTGGCGTCATGCTAGTTTTGCATTGTTTTTACTGATTTGTTACTTACAAAAACTAATATTTATATAATATGTGTCAGAACGGTACCGCTCTTGTATCACTACAATTATGAGTGGAAAGGTGACATTTTTGAAATTTATTTGCTTCTTTGAGTCAAAAAACTTGACAAAGTCTGTAGCAGTGTAAAACCACACTGTTTACTAATAAATTCGTGAATTAATTAATTCATGAAGAACTTCGTCAATTTATTCATGAATAAATTGTCAATGTAAAACAGCTACAAGTAATTTAGGATATAAATTAATTCGAAAATATTAAAGAAACTCGTCCTTTATTATCAAAACGTACTTACGGGACACCATACACATTTTTTATTTAAGTTGAACCATGCAATGTAATTTCTAAATTAATTTTTACGGAATTAAAAATATAAACATATGAGATGCATACACTAAAATGTAAGTAGTAACAGCAAATAATGCTTAAAATAATAAGTTACCCATTATCAAATGTTTCATCCCCACATGCGACGCTCATGTGTAATGTTTGCTTTATGTTTCGGTTAATTGAATTGACTTTTAAGTATCTACACTGTTCTACTCTGCTACTTACCTTATTGTAGTATTGAAGCATTTACATGAAAGTTATATTTTTACATAACACTGTTTCACTTTATCCGATTTTATTTTATTTATCAGTACCTATTGTGATGTATTAAACAGAATAGGTAGTCGCGCATATACTAAGTACAGCCCTGTATAATTCTTACTATTATTAGACATTAGCTTTGTTTTTAAACAGTATCAGTCTTAAAAACTGAACCAAGTAAAAAACGAGATGTTTGTTTCAAGATTCTCATGGGTAAGCTCTCAGCAATTTTACTCCTTTATAAATTACAACAACTTACTTTAAAAACCTAATTAATTACGTATAATAAAATGAGTTTTTTATTTATTCTTACCTCTCTAAACAGGTTAACCTCATATCCAGTTCTTGTTTCTCACTTTTAATATTTAACGTTAACACATTTAACTAAAAAAATACAGCTGACACTGGAAACACAACGTTTGACACATTATTTTTAATGTACTTTTCATACTTCTTTCTACATTTGCACTGCAGGTAACTTTTGTGCAGCTAATTGCAGAGAACGGTTTCCGGATAAGCTCCACTGCATTTTACTAGTGTTTACTTCGTTCTCTCTCGTAGAGTAGCACACCTGGTACAGTTCTACCACATCGATTAAGTTGTTATGTAATTTAATTGCTTATTACTGATTTATAAAGCATTAAACTAAATAATTTGCAAAAGATTTTTCGTTAAACAGGTTGATGGTTAATATATTATTATATAAAAACAATATTTAATTCTCTGTAGATATAAATAGAAAGCTGTTAATTATGTTATGGGCTTATGGGCAATGCAATTATTTGATATACATATATGTTTCATTTTGCACAATTCTAGTCATTACACATAATGTGTAGTCCAAGTTCAATGTGAAAACAATGATACTGACAATTGATGTAAGGTCAATTATGTATTATTCTGCTCGAGATCTGCAATTATGCTTTTTGCCCAATTTCACACATTGTTCTTAAAATAGGGTTTCCTCCTTGGATTCTAGGACCCTGAAAAAATAGGTGTTCAAAATACAGCCATCTTGATTCTTGTCTTGTGTTTTTGACATCCTTGATGAATGCATTTGACTTATTTGGGTTCAAAATTGTAGACCTGAAAATCGCTGCTTCAATATCTTTTACACTGCAAACGATTTAATTTTGCATAACATACTGTGGTAATAACACGAGTATATTTATGTCAAAAAACAAGAACCAAAATGGCTGCTATCGCTGATACCCCGTTTTTATAGGACATTATTGAGTTATTGAGTATACAAGTTACAAGCGTACTATTTAACTTTTACATCCAGTCTAATATATAAATAGAGTAATGTGTAAAATTAAATTTTTGCTTAATATAGAGGTGTTTTTATGTCTATCTGGCACTAGGTCAAATGAAAATTATAAATAGAATATGCCATATGCCACCGAAGCATATAACACAACTAAAAATTGAAATCGATGAATACTTATATTTCAAAAACATGTATGTAGTTTGAGGAGATAAACATATGGTGATAAATCTCGTGATAAATAGAAAAACATTTGGTATGTATAGAGCATTACTTTATCCACATGGTAAGATTTTGTTTACGTTCCGAATGTGGAAATTATTCTGTGGGTAGGCAGTGTTCGCGTTATCACAGAAGTCCTTGTCGAAAATCAAAAGTCTTTGAGATAAAAACGTTGCTGTAACACATATAAACATAGGTTATGTAGCATTCATTTCAAGTGTCATGTATTAAAAATATTAAAATAATACGATTTAAGTATTTAAGTAATACAGTCCGTATTTTACATTCAAATGAATGTCCTCTGTGAATTATATAGAATCCGTTTTTGCAGATCTTAACACTATGCCACAAAACATTCATTTTGCCATTTTATCTGGTATATGTGCGTCAACAGCTAGCACGTTTGGAAAGTTATCTTGGTTGCCTATATTACAGGTAAATAACCAGAAAATATTAAACTGTTATAAAATATTTTTATTTCAGTGTTCAAATTAAAGTTTTGCCACTGAGTGGAAGTAAGTAATTGATTTGATGTTTTTTTTTTCTCATTTTTATGATAGAAACACCTGTTAAACATCAATAATACCGTTGTTATTTCATACGTACAATTCAAACAAATGAAAGTTGTAAATATTTATTAAGTACCATATTGGCCATTTAACATTTTATATGTGTCAATTCACTGTTTCTATTCATGAGTTTGATATAACCCTAGTAATTTTTAACAACTTTCTGTAAAAACCTATTGTAATATTAACTATTATAATTAGATATATTTTTTCCTACGGATTTTTCTAATAAGTATTATAAGTTAATGTAAAGGGATAGGGTCATCCATTAGCGTGGGAATATGCTATAGCTATTCTGTGCGTTATTTGACATAGGTACAAAAAATGTTTCATAGAAGTTGGAAAGGTTAAAAAATACATACCAGATAGATATAGATATAGATAATAGATATTTCATTAAACAAACAACAAAACAACAAAAACTAATTCGCTCATACATCACTCCATACAGGGTGTTACATTAAAATAAACAAAAAAACCTGGATATGACATGGGTCCTAAACTTAACCATTTCCGAGAAAAAAATTATCAAAATCTCCAACTTAATGTACAAAAGTTCGATTAATTATGAAATATTGACATAACTGCATGCATAAAATACCATAAAATACAATGTTTGTCACTTTGTGAACTTCTTTATGCTTAATTCTAAAAAATAATTAGTGTTGTAATAAATTTAAAATTAGATAAAATTCATATGGTACTAAGGTGTCCAGCAACCACCAATCAATTCAGTTGGTATTTGGAATTTGACAGTCGAAGACTTGCGAGAACGAATTTTTGCCGCTGCCCATCAAATAAGGATTAAAAAATACTGAATTTGATTAAATGTTCCTGTTTTAAGAAATTCATAATTACTAACATTCGAGCTAAAATTTAAGCACAACACTATCTTCGTACTACAACATAGATTATATTTTATTTTATTTATTTAAAAACTGGAACAATTGTCTTGAAATTTATTAAAGTTTCACAATACTTAACTGTTGTTTACATTTTTGTTATTCCGTAGGACAAGTCTGCCCCGTGCACACGTGGTGTGCATCAGCTGTGTAACATTAGGTTAAGCGCTGTTGTCACGTTGTGATGAAACTCCCTAATATTTATACTCGCTGGATTTTGAAAACTGTTAATTTAACCTCCCTGTAATATACAACTTTTCTGTTCATTTATGATTACTCCATCTCATGTTGAAGTAATGACAGTCAAACTTCTTACACCTTGTATATTTGAAAAGTAAAGTGCGTTTGGTATTTTCAACTTTTATAGGAATTTTGTTTTTATGTATCTTCAATAGCAGAACTATTGTGCTTTGCTACACTAATGGACCTTGCTATATAGTACATTTTAAATTTTTCAGTGGAAGTGGTACCTACCTACATACTTACTGTATATAAAATATTATAAGAATCTTAAAAGATTATCATAATTGTCTGTAATTGTGGAAAATAATGATTGTTTGTCATTTTCTTACATTTAGGTACTTAATATATCTAATATATAATAATTTATTGATCTCTGCTTAAATTACATACACTCGATTCTTACGTAACTTACCTGTAGTTTACTTTTCAGGAATACATCTTAATAAGAATAGCATTTTTCGCGTGTATGGTGGTATGTAACGGAGCAGTATGGACCTTATTTGTAAAAGCTCTTCAACAGACAAATTCTTCTCTTAACGCCACTGTGATTTCTTCAGCATCTAATTACGTATTTTCAGTAAGTTTCATTAGATTCATTACCCATTGAACTATTTCCAGCATTTGTGATACATAGGTTAATTTTGTTACAGGCAGTAACAGGATTCGTTTTGTTTGGGGAAATAACTTCCTTACTTTGGTGGTCAGGAATGTTTCTCATTATAGTCGGTCTGCTTTTGGTACTGTCAAACGACTCTAGTGTTGATAAAAGTATTTTAAATAAAAATCAATAGTTATGTCCAATTTTTGTTATAAAATATATTCATTTAAACCACACGATTGTATTAGTTATTTTTTTCTTTTTATTTTATTCTGAGATTTATATTTAAATCAAATAGTATACTGTAGGGTCCTTAGGGTCCTAATATGCTCGCATATTGTTTTATATTTCATGACATCGACATGAATTAAATATCTAAACAACTTTTTTATCATAATAAGCAAATTGTACAACTGGGTAAATTTCACTTGAGATCTGAAATGCGCAAATCGAAAAGAGGGCACACTTAAATGTAGAATGACTCCACTATACTTTGCCACTGCGCGTTCTACCCTCAGGGAGCAAATGAACCCGGTTTACCCGTACTATGAATGAAATATATTAATATCGACAATTATTCGGAAATGCTAGAAATATTACAAGTACCACTGTATTTAGTTTTATGTGTTGCCTATATTTGGATCGACTTATTGTAAAATGATATTGATAATGATAATAATTTAGCACTGTGAAAATATAGTCCATAAGATTTCATTAAAAGTAAAATCTTACAGGTTCAGCTGATATCAACATAGAAATACTGTGTTGTCCATGTATTTTACTATATTTAACAAATATTTTTAATTCATGTTTAATAGATAATATTTTTCCACATGATTTGTAGTCAATAAGTATCCTTCCAGTATTATTTTTAATTTTTAAATACTAATACATACCTACTTCCAAAAGTTATAAAGGAAAATATCCAACAAAAGCTCTCTAAAAGCTTTTCCAAAATGGTGCGAAAGCGACCACTTCTGATTTAAAAAATCATAATGTGTCACAACTTTTACGTGGGTCATCATCATCAGCGTGTTAATGAACTTATGTCAAATATTTTTGACGATACACCGATTTGTGTTGAGTAAAATTTAATTTTAAAATCTGACTTACCTCAACATTGCAAGGAGCCACATTTTGAGAACAGGATATCTTGCACGGTACAATTGACAAGATCTGTGGGCATTTTCGTTTGCTTCGCCATAAACTATGAGCATAACATAATATTCACGACTGCTAAATAAATGCGCCATTTTCAAAAAAAACTTGGAAATACGGCTATTAAATGTACTATCAAAAAACAGCACAGCAATCACTACAACAATGTATTACAAACCGACTTTCGAATACAGTCCGGCTTCATAAGAAACCTACAAACTCGTAAAAAATGTTACAGAATTTTTTATAAATACTCACCGCGATAATAATACATGTATTTAAGCAGTTCCAAAACAGTTTTAAACACATTTTTTATTAGCTTTTTTTCTCTATAACTAAACTTCCGATACAAGTTTGAAGCTAGTCACTGTTTCTCTCCATTCTTTTGAAAAAAAAATAAATATTTCGAAAACGGTTAATTTTAGGAATAGGGCAACTTCATGAAAGTCCACCTAATATAACACGTAGAATCCAAAATTGCAATAATATATATGGTGTTCCATTAAAAATAAGCAAGTTGATGGCGACTTCCGGTATAACCGGAAGTGGTACGTGGACGCCATTATTTTAGTTGAGAAGGGCATGCCCGAAAACCCGGTATCCCAAATTTTCAAAATTCAAATTGAAGTAGTCTCTGAAATAATTCTAATGGGCCGTCACCGTGATGTAGAATTGTTATGAAAGGGAGAAATTAAAAATCGATGTATCTGAATATTTTTACTTTACGACTGCACTGTATAATTTTTTTATATAGTATATTAATAATACACAGGATGACCACGAAATATCTCGGTCACTACTTTTGTGGCTAACTTAAAAAGATTCGCATATAAAAACTTATGTCAGATCTACGTCCATCTGAAGTTTATTTCATATCTTCATGTGCCATTTCCAGACGCCCCGTTTGATTTTTTATTTATTTACTATCGTCATATATCATTTTATGTTAAAAGTCAGTCCATCCATCCTTCAGATAATTATTCCTTGCAGCCACATTAATTATATTAGAATTAGATACCTGTATCCCATTACCTATAATCATATACAAATTATATTTACTACTGATTCATCCATACACTGTTTATATAAGTCTACTATAAAATATGAACTCTGCTTTTTAGAAACTTAGATATTTATGATATATCTAACATCTAACTCTGGAATAACAATCTTTTACTAAAAGTTAAAATCAAAGGCAAAAAATTTTGGATTAACAAATAGTAGGTACAGTATCTTACGGTTCTATGGATACATTTTGCTTATAAACTTCTGCGTGCAGCACTTCAACATATTTAAACACATCATTTATTATCCTTTGAGCTTCATTCCTCGACTTCATTATTGATTTGTCAATAGCTAGCCCCAACTGAAATCTGTTGTCATATGTTAGGATGCTCAATCCCACACCTGTAAGATAACGTAAATGTTAGCAACTGTAAAAGAAAAAGTATAAAATAAAAATAATTGAAGATTAAAATGTATAGTCTGTACAATATTTGTCGAGATAGAATGCCAAGAAGAGAATAAGCCAATAAAGTTCTATCATCGGATTACTGCAACAATTTACCGCGGTAGAGGCGTGCCTTAAAATTTTCCGCCAATGCCTTTCTACCTCGGGCGTCGAATGCGGTTAATTCCAAGAAAGTGGCACAGGGGTCTTCTTGGAATTCTATCTGAACAAATATCGTATGGACTGTGCTTCTGTTTAAAGAAAATTAATTAATCGATATAAAAATACGTGGTCTATTAAAAAATCATAATTTAGTCATAACATGCAATATTTACCAGTTTTGCCTCTATGGTTTGTAAAGAAAATTATGTCTTCGATATCACAGTCCTTCATTATGGTCACCTTGGGTACTCCAGGTACGTTACTAATTGTCATAGTAAGCTGATCGGTGTTAAGAGATTGTTTTAAAATTGGATGGGGTATAAACCCACAGAGGTAAGTTACAAGCCAGTAGTTAACCTGCAATTTATTGAATTAGAACATTTAGGTACTAAACACATATGTATTTGTAAGGGGGGCGTAGAGGTGATAGGCAAACTTCAATTTTTTTTTTGTACGTGTGTTTCGTGCTCAGAGACAAATACTACATTACAAGTCAGTGAAATAAGCCATTATGAGCAAGTAGTCTTTTCAAATTTTGTTTTTATCTGGAAAGTTATGGGGAAGATTTGGTTTCTTCCATTCAACACGTTTTTTTGGGGTGCTGAATCCGAATCTGACATTTGCTAACAAAATTTCGTGATGTAACTTAAATTAAAAAATGTCAATTTTAGAGGGTTCTCATAGGCTTCGGATATGGCTGAATTAGCCTAAATCGGCCCATTCTGAGTCCAGAAAGCTGTGGTCTTCCATTGTACATGTACTTACGCTACACAGTGTATGATAATTTACCTGATATTGTAGTGAATTTCTCAAGTTACTGGTTTTTTGCATCACCTCCTGAAGACGCTTCAGCATGGAGCTTGAACACATTTGTATGGGCAGATCCAAAATGCCGACACTGAATTGATTTTGTAATACTGGTGCCTGGTCCATATCAGGCGCTGATAGTAATGCAGGTATGACCACGCTTATATGCTTTGGAATTGGTTGTGAATTCTAAAAATGTATTGTTAAAATTATTTTGCTATAAATATGTTTCAAAATCGGTCCCAGACAAATGAAGTAGTCTGAATTAAAAAAAATCGTTTGTACTTTACCCTTTTGAAGTGTTCATCAAGACTCCTAGAAACAGCTGTTAGCAATACATCAGAAAATTTGGAATTTGGAATAGATTTTTTTATATCCTTGACTAATGTAAACAATTTTTTTTCGACTTCCACAGCATATACCAAATTTTTCTCCCCACATAACTCAGGCCCATGCAGAGAGTTACTGTCATCTTTCCTTAAAAAGTGTTGTTGAATCAGCATTGACGGTACCATTGATAGCGTATTTACAAAATTTTTGGTAGCACGTATTGATTTTGAGAACATATCACTGTTTGGATATTCTAAATGACTAGACGAACTATATATACGCATTTTTTCAAAGGATAATTTTTTATACGTTTCCAGTGTATTGCTGTTAGCAAATGTTCTCAACATGAGATTCACGAATGATAAACCGTCTCCTACTACATGGCTGAATCTTAATAGAACTGGGTACTTGTTAGATGGGTCTTCCATAGAATGCCACTGAATAGGTTTCGGACTGACTAAAATTTGCCACAAAGCTGAATGCTGCTTTGGCAGTGGCTTATTGCAATATTTGCTAATTATTTCTTGTAGATCTGTCTGATTTAGTTCTTCATCATGTTTGATTTCTAAAGTTGATACACAATCGTTTACAGTAAGTTTATTCTTCAGTAAAAAATTAAAACCCATAAATCTGTGTCGCGTACTGGTGAGTTTTGGAAAATCCTGCGATTTCTGAAAAATATTTTGAAATATAACATCTTTCATTTTCCTGGTAATGTTTTCAGTTCTGTTTGGATTAGGTTTTAGGATTATTAGTACATTGATGATATTTCTTGAAGTATCTTCGATAGCCCATACTGAATCAGCACTTGCCAACATTCCTCCAAAGCAATTCCCGTATCTTAGTTTTAAAAAAATATTTACTATCTGCTTTATAAATATCAACACTGCCATCACTATTACAACTGCTGGTAAAATTAGCCATGGGAACAAACAGTAAATTAGTTTTAGAAAAAAACAGTGAAGACTTTCAGGATATAGGATGTCACGAAGGGTCTTTACTTTTCCATTTCCCTAAAAAAATGATAAATGAAAAGGTTTTATATACCTTTTGCAATGGAATGAGGTCAATTTTTAAATGTTTAGAAAAGATAAGAAACTACGTATCAGTCTATATTTTAACTGATTTTTATTCTAAAAACTTGGTAGCTTAATTAATATGTACTTACCTTTACGTAACATAATAAAACGGCTGTCAATAAAATGGATAATAAACATACATATCCATATAATCTTCCATTCCCAAGTGAATCATTTATTCGTATAAAATCACAATGTTGACTTAAATTATCAAATTTTGAATAACCTGAAAAATAGTCTTCTATTTTCTCCATATTTATATTACCTCATCCATCAGCTGTAAGAGTTTTAAAATAAGAACTTAACAGTACAAGTCGTTTTCTCGAAGTAATAAAAAGCCGCCTGCTTACTTTAAAATAAGGTAATAATCTTAGGTTTAATCCATTTAACATCATATTGATTAATTTAATTAGATTTAAAGAGCTTGTAGAAGTCTTACTAAATTTTCAAGAAATCTTACATTTAAAATATCTTCTTCACAGGTATAGGTATATACCACTACTAAATGTATACAGAATTCGAATGTTTATTAAAGCTGGATTACTTTTTCTATTGGTCTTTAATAAAACAATGACTATGCGATTTATCACTACAATTTTCTTATTGTATTATGACTATTTTTTATAGCTATGACTTATTGCAGTACGGGGGTAATTCAACATCCATTGTAGACATTGATATGTCATTCAACATTCGGATGTAGAATAGATAGTTCTGTGTACAGTTGGTTTGTTGAAAATCTATATATTTTTAAATAAAATTTTGAGTAAAATATTTTGTAAAAATTGAAAATTTATGAAAGTAGTTTAAAAAGGGCCTCCTCAGACAAATATACAGTATCTCAATATTGACCATGCTTTATAAATATGATGATTAAATTATTTTTATTCAAAATATCTCGAATATCAGAATTTATGTATAGACTTTCCAAGTCTATGGTTTCTAAGGCTAACCATCCGCAATACTGAAGTAAAATTACTTTACTGACATTAAGATAAACTACAATTAAACCATTAGCATTAGAGCTTTGCAGCATTAGATCATTTTCGGAGTCACTATAAACATTTTCCCAATAATTTCCTGTATATACAATCACAGTATGATATACAGATGAAGTCATACTATCCTTTAAACCTTGTATTTAAAAAATATTGTTTGTAAGTATATATTAAAAATAAAATGGGTCCAATTACTGTCCCTTGTGCTCTTTTTTGAACTGAATTGAATTGTCTAAAAGAAGGTGGCCGAGTATGAAAAAATCATTATTGAAGTGGTCATATTTTTATAAATAAGCATGGAACCCGTATCGTTCTTCAAAAGATGATTCTAGGCTCACAATGTGACTTTTCTGAACAAAAATATGTATGCAAATCAAATGATCTTGGATTTCGAAAAAGGTGTATTTCTATATTTTTGGAAAGTTTTTCATCACTAAAGTTTCTTTTATGGGCTCAGAAATCATCTCAAAAAAAAAGATGTCGGTCACATGCTTCTGTATAAAAATATGTCTATTTTTTAATTTACATCAGCAGTCACTGCATACAAATACTTACTTTTATCCACCAAATGCAACCAGTTGGTAGCATGTGTAAATAATAAGGCAACTAGATAAAACAACAAAATAATTTATTTAGTTGACTAATATACATACCTACATAAAATAAGACAATATAATTGTGTAACTAGAAATAAATGTTTTACTATAGTTCTTAATGGTGCCAATTTTCAAAGATACATAAGTAGAAGGAAGAAAAATATGTGGTCTATGTTTATATGCACCTCTATTTTTAAGTTAAACAAAAACTCACTTATACAATAAAAACGACAATATTAAATTATTAAAAATATGAACCTTGATTAACAAGATTTTTTTTTCCATTAGGAAACCAAAATTTCTATATCTACTCGTACTACATGCAAATATCTATCACAGTAGTTGCAACACCATATTTCTATTTTATAAAATGAAAAAAAAAAAACTTAAGAATTAATTACATTATATCTTACATACTATGACTTATAATAATTAAGATTATGTGCAAATGAACATAATATCACTCACCGATTGCACAGGGTATTGATTTTTCAAAATTGTGTTTTAGGATTTCTTCCAACTAGCCTTATATTGATAGGTATAGTGTAAAAGTTGGACTGCTTGTTTTTGAAAAATGTTTGACGTTCTGAATCAAAATTATAAGTAAGTCTAGCAAAAATTTATACAATTGGAGTAACCTCCAGTCAAATTAGCATTTTAGAAGAAATAGTTTATAAAATTTTGGATAGTGATTCATGATAGGACCAGTAAGAAAGACACGGAAATTTTTTTGGGGAAAACAACGTCCACAAAGTAAGAGGATTGCTGCTGGTCATTCTTCCTAATCGTGCAGTTTAAAAAAATTGCATATAAATCTCTGCGCCACAAATTAGATGTAAAGACAACTTGCCGACTGATTTTTGCATAGCCTGCCGATATATTCAGCCTGCGCGCGAACACAAGCAATGTTCTATTTTACAAGCGTCTATTTCTATCTTCGCTTATGGTGTACACAAAAAAGAGAGACGGTCACTTTCTAACTTAGCCGTTTTCCTTCGTGTCATATGCGTGGAAGTGGGAGAAACGTGATATTATTTGGAATGAAATTTCATTAATTCATATAAGTACTGGAAATTATTCTAGGACACCTATTTCGGCTGAAAATTAATACCCAACATCTCAAAATATTATAAATTATTTCTTCATTTGCCTTTATTTTAATCCAATTTGACTGGAATGAACTATTGAGTTATATGGCAGTATCTTCAGCAATCAAACTAGTAGTAATTGCATCAAAAGTATATTTGCCTCTTCTTTTTGTATCGTTATGACTGTCGCTTGATCCAACAAAGGATGTTCACCCACGCAAAAGAACATGTCCCGACATACGTAACTCTAAATGCTGGAGGAATTAAAAGAAAATTTATGGACTGGGCTGGTAACCAGAACATGCAACTTGTCTTGAAAGTGTTTCCAATCTTCTGCCTAAACTCCTCAAAGATATCAGGTTTCCTTTCCATTACGCTCATAGCTAAAATGTGAATATATGACACAATTATACAAAATAATCGATAAAAATTAAAGTATTATAATTAGTAATTGACATACTATGCAGGTATTCTCTGTATAATTCTCGACAATGTATTTTTTCGTGTTAAGTTGAAAACGAGTTAATATTTAGGGCAAACAGCGTACAAACACAGCCGCACTGGCCGACTGACCCATAAATTTCAGTTGTTGACAAATTGTCTAGTTGTCCAGCTAAATAAATATGGGAAGTTTTCCAAATATTTCAAAATATTTCATTACCGAGTTGCTGTGTAGTGACCGAACGTGGCACATACTGCTTAGCTCTTTGGTCTTCAATTGGGATTGGAAAGACTATAACGAAAATTCCCGAAATATTAATGACTCGTTTACAATGAACAATGACAAACCGTTACGTCTGCGCTCCAGATAATGCGATTGCTGATTGGTTGAATATAATCTCGTAAAAAATTATACCAATCACAGCCGATGAAACAGGATGTTGTGTTTTAATAATTTTAATAATTTTTTATTTGACTGAAATTTAATTGCCGACATGAAGGAAATAACATTACTGTTCCAATCAAAATTGCTGGTCACGTGGCTTGTAATCATTTATGATGTATTTAAATACGTAAAGTACGATGTTTTTTCGGGCCGTTATGCCATAGTATCTGTATCTTGTCGCTATGAGTTACAGAACTACCTTGCACTTTTTTAGCCAGGAATCTTTAACCTGCCCTTGTTGTTCTCGGACCAGGACCTGTGGGGGCGGACTTGCTGTCAAAACTCCTAGACCCGCCCTGGCGTTTTTGAAACTCGAAAGACCATCATACTTTAAATATCAGCTTCTTTTAGGATTTATACAATCATTACATGCAAAATATATAAAAATAATACTGTGACTATAATTGTTTCTGGAAAAAAAGTTAAATATACCTAATACTTACATACATAAAACACAAGCAACAGCTGTGGTGTGAAAAAAAATTGATCTATTAATAACTTCTTCACAATAACTTTGGTCGTTGTTCCCACAAATTTTTTATCTAAAAATCTATACCTAAAAATTTCACATATGAATTACTACAGTACAGTACAGTCGTTATATACATACATATTTTCTAAATTTTAATTTTAACCGTAAGGAAAGACAAATTACACTTGAAGGATACTTGTCAAAAATTTTAGGAGTATCAAAAATATTTACCAAACTGTTAACATAGGCCCAGCTAAAGTTGTTCCATAAATTGTGTATCTACCAAGCGTATTCCAGTCATATGGTTTAGGTGGATCATCCTGTGAAGCAAAGATTCTTATATTTTCAAAACATATTTCATAATAAATATAAATAATGAACATAAGTATAAAGTATACAGGGTGTCCCGAAATTCGGGCAACAAAATTTGATCACAGATTCTTAAGACAAATTTAGGGGACCCGTATTTTTTATTTTTGCCAAGTGGCCCCCTCTTTCGGAGTTACAGCCCCCTGAAGTCCGCCACTAAGAATAATCTTTTTTTTATATCTCAGAACCCTGTTGTACGAGAATCACTAAATTTGGTACACAGGGGTTTTATGACATGTGGAATCTGATGGTGCTACGTTTTTTGGCGGGGAATCCCCTTAAGACAATATTTCGTGGGCCCTCTTGTCTTTGGAGCCAAAAAAATTTGGTCGAATATTTTAATTTCTTATAAATTATCAGTCCACTAGAAAGTCATTAAAATTAGAAACTTTTTGTCGCTTTATACTTTTTTTGTAAAACGCAATGTTTTCGAGAAAAATATCAAAATGTAATCGAATGCATTCGCCAATTTCCTCAAAAACATTGCTTTTTACGAAACAAATGTCAAGAGACAAAAAAGTTTCTGAATTCAATGGCTTTCTAGCTAACTAATAATTAAAACAAAATCAAATTTGCGACCAAATTTTTCTGGTTCCAAAGACAAGGGGGCCCACGAAAAAGTGTCTTAAGGGGGTTTCTCGCCAAAAAGCGTAGCACTGTGAGATTTCACATGTCATAAAACCCCTGTGTATCTAATTTAGTGATTCTCGTACAACATGGTTTTGAGATATAAAAAAGACTTCTTAGGGGCAGATTTCAGAGAGCTGTAACTCCGAAAGAGGGGGTCAGTTGGCAAAAAGAAAACGGGTCCCCTAAATTTGTCTTCAGAATTTATTACCAAATTTTGTTGCATGAATTTCGGGACACCCTGTAGAGAGATCCGGATATTTAATTATAATTAAACTAAATTTATATCTACTTACCAACAATTTTTTTGTAATAGTCTGTTGGGAAAATTCTGCTCCAACGCACAATGAGCCATATACGACAGAATTAACAATTATTGGATATTTGTCCAAAATCCTCTTAAAGTTTTGAAAGAGGTTATTCATCTAAAAAGGATTTTAAATAAGTTATTTGACTGTATTATAACTTTTGCATTGTAGTATGTAAGTTTTTTTATAGACATTAAGTGACATAAGTAAAATGGCTGGAGATACATGTCTAGCACCATCTTGTGAAAGAAATTGTTGGCCCAAATACCCAAAGAAGTGGATATCCATATTATTTTTTAAATATATACCTTGAAGATATGTTTTATACTCATGAAACATATCCACTTTCATAATAGTGTCTCTGTTAACTTTTATAATCATGTCGTCACTGCGTCCAATTATTTATTTCGTTGAAATATGTAAAATGATGTTGAAAAGGGCACGAAAATGAGCAACTTTTATTAAGCAGTTAATGGTCTAAATGCTTTTGTTTTCGAAAATATTAATTAAGAAAATTAACCATAAATATAAGCCGACCCCTGTGCATCTTGTGCACGTGTATTGTGTTGTATGCCGGCGCGGCGTATCAAAAAATGTTTTCTGATCAAGAACTAGCAGATATGGTGTTAATGTACGGAGAATGTCAGTACATTTTAAATGAAAATGGCGCGTCGCACCAGGGACGGCTTTAAATTTGTTTAAACCTTCATGTGTTTTTTTCCGTTTAAAACATAATGTTTTAGACCATCATTTGCTTAATAAAAGTTGCTTATTTTCGTGGCTTCTATTACCCTGTTCAAGGAACGCATTTATTTCAGAAACATTCTGTATACTTATTGTACATACACTATTACTGTATTAAATGAAACATGTTTTGTCACAAAAGACAAATGACAGTTATTCAAAAAAATAGACTGTAATTACAGTATTAAACAAAATATGCAGCAAATTATTGAAGCAGTCAGGAAAGGGATAGCTATAACCATAATAAGTTAGATCACGTCGGTGTTTTAACAACAAAAGTAGCAAAGATGTAAGCATGCAAATATCTAAGCCACCACTATTTCGTCCTTGTTTTTTTATTCATAAAAATTTTATTTGATTTTTATTTCTTATAGCTCTTTGAAATATTACGGAAAAACTTAAAAAATTGTTCAACAATATCTGAAATATTTTTTTATGGTAAAAAAATCATTAATAAAGATAATTGCCATTATTTTATTCTTTATTTATAACTTAATAATTATTGTACTTACAGAGAAAATTTTTAAAACATTGTTAGTTTACGTACTACAATTTTCACCTTGATGATTTTTTTTTGACGTTAACATTAAACATATGACATAACATGTTTTCGCCTTCTGTCAAATCTAGATGATGTGCAATTTGAAAAGGTATTTTTAGTTTTATTTTTAAATAATCTATTGATTATAGTTCTTAAAATAGTTGATTTGATTTTCATAAGCCCATATATGCTTTCCAACAACATGCTTGATTTGTAACACAAGATATCCCTGGGAGGCTTTTGGCCAGACATAATCAGAACGTACATCCCTGGGATATACAGGGTGTTAGAAGTTTGCTGTCTTAATTTTAACAGACGATAAAAACATTATCTGATATGTGCCCTAAACTCAATCATTTCCGAGAAAAAAATTATCAAAATCTTGATGTATAAAAGTTCGATTAACTAAGGAATATTGACATAACTGCGTGCATAGAATACCATAAAATATATTTTTTAAACTCTTTATGCTTAATTCTTAAAAATAATTAGCGTTGTAATAAATTTAAAATTCGATAAAATCCATATCGAGCAATGTGACAACGGCGCGGCGGATAACACGAGGCACTAAGCTGTCCAGCAATACGCAATTCAGTTGGTATCTGGAATTGGACCGTGTCTGCGTGTTTTTTGCGTATCACTATTTCATTTTTTTGAGGCGTTTTCCAGAGAGTGCGCGAAAATTGGATTCGAAGGTGATGTGCGTGCATCGAAAATGGTGGTATACATTTTGAGCATATGTTGTAATTTGTTTTGATTATTTGGATGGCGTGAATCTTTGGGTACTTTAATTAAATATTTTTCAAATCCATAGTTTGGTTAAAAGTTAAGTTCCTGTTTTAAGAGATTCATATAATTACTAAAATTCGAGCTAAAATGTAAGCACAACACTATCTTTCTACTACATAATCGATACATTTTATTTTATTTATTTAAAAACTGGAAAACAATTGTCTTGAAATTTACTAAATGTTTCACAATAATAGTTGTTTACATTTTTTCCGTAGGACAAGTCTGCCGCGTGCACAGGTGGTATGCACCAGCTATGTAGCGTTAGGTTAAGCCATGTTATCACATTGTGATGAAACTCCCCAATATTAATACTCACTGTATTTTGAAAACTGTTAATCTTACGGCCCTGTAATATACAACTTTTTTGTTCATTTATGATTACTCTATCTCATGCTGAAGTAATGGCTGTCAAACTTCGCACATTCTGTATATATCCTAACAGGTATGCTACGGATATCTTTAGAACAAGTGTGAGCTTTTTGGGACAAAACGGTAATATATTCGTTTTTTTTTCATCTAGTGTAATAACCTCCTGCTACATCTTTTAATACAGGCATGTTGCAAACATACTTAAAAAGTAGAAATGTATTTTTTAAGTAACTTGATTCTTTTTTCCTGAATGTATTTAGGAACAAAGTAGGTATCTGACTAACTGACATGACTCTGTCCTTACTGTTGTACCACGTGTGACTCCTCTGTGTCCTTTAGTTAACTATTACCGGAATTCTAGGAATTCCCCTCCCTCCCCTTAAGCGGCGCCAATGTTAATAACTTTTGTCGAGGATGAACTCGGAGAATATTTTTTATAAAGCTGTGTCGTTATTTTTACATCAACTCAAATCCTAAATCCCAAATCCCAATTTAAACAGTAGGTATTTTCTTTCAAATAATTGCGTATATAAAACAGCAATTTTAACAACAAACTGTTTATTTTGATTTTAAATTTTATTTACGTTAAATATAAAATTCTGCTACTAAATGTTCTGTGATAGTAGATACAGTGGCGTAATTACCATAAGGAGTTCGGGTATTCCTGGCGCCCAACGGTTTTTATTGTGACGTTTTTGTTTTTGTTCAGGAGAAGCCGCCAGCCACCTCGACTTCTCCGCTCACTGTCGTTGTCTCTTGTGTCTGGGGGCCCCGATGAACTGTCTGGCCCCGGGATCCCAGTCTGTATCGTTACGCTACTGACTAGATAGGTAGATATTACTTATCTTTAGAACGTGTGTTGAAAACTAAACATATCGAGCGGATTAAATATTTCCACGATAACTCGTTTGTAAATAACGTTACATATATTACATTATGATGTAGTTACCAATAAAAATAAATATATTGTACATACTCACCTCTAAAAAAGCGGAGAAAGTAGCTATACAATAATGCAAACGACACGATACCTAAACCAGTCAAACAAAAACACGAGCGAACTCGATGGTAATTATGTACATTCGGTTGGCTTATGTAACCTTTGGATTAGTATATTCATAGGAATAAATTGCCTGCCCAGCTAAATAAATGTAATAGAAAATTAAATAGGAATGAAATGTAACAGTCTCATTGAAGCTACAAAAATTACACAGGACCGGGTCAGTAAAATAATTTTAAATGAAGATAAGAATTGAATTATATTTGATTGGCTTGTAGTAATAACATCAGATATAAGTACAGTAAAAGTAAAAGTTGTTTTTGATTTTTATTGTTATTCTAAATAAATAATAATAAGGATTACAGGGTAGGTAATTGCTTCTTCTTCTAGCCTGTCATATTTATTCCCACAATAAAAAAAGATTTTATCTCTGATCAAGGATAAAACTGTGATAGAAGAAGAGGCTACTAAATAGGCACCAGTACCGTAGTCAGGAGGAAATTTCAGGTTGGGCAAACAATTTTCTTGTCAGGGTATCTGAAGGATAGACAGCGGCTAGTTATATATTATATTTATTTGAAACATATTTAATTAGCTCGTTTTTTTTTTGGTATCAAACAACATTTGATAGGATTCTTAGGAAAAATGAATTGAATCTATTTGAGTTAATTTACTACTTACCTTTAAAATAGTTTTTTATAATTCAGCTTCCAGGCAGAACAAACATTTTTAATTATGCAGGGCAAAGTTGTGATAGAGATAATGTCACTGTAATTCGGTTATAGGCATGCAAGCAATTGCACTTATTTGAAATTAAGGATCTGCACCAAAATATTTTTGTAGGAGTAGAGAAGAAATATCACCCAGAAACCTATTTAAATACCTCAAATGCCAAAGGTTAATCAGCAGTGCTCAAAAGTTCTATGTCCTCCAGTCTTTGACATTTGATATTTCTTTATTAACCTTTCTAGGTGTTTTCTATTCCACAACTTCGAGGTTTTTGAGGTACAGACTGGTTAAACGGAATCTAATGAAAAATCAACTTCGTTATTGTAAATGGAACAGTATGTATATTTTTACATATTTGGATTCTACGCTTCATGACTTTCATCAAGTTTCCCTATTTCTAAAACTATCCGTTTTAGAAATATTTAGCTTTTTAGTAAAAAAAATTACTTAAATACTTTGAAGCGGTGTGCATTCTACAGTTAGACAGATAAAGCAACAAATAGGAGATAAATACCTAAACTGCATAACCATATCATCAGAGTTACCGAATCTTATACATAAATTCAATACCGAATTTGGTCCGCTGAAAACCATCCAAACTTGATTTTTTGTAGTGAAACATCTCGTATTTTTGTTCAAATTTGGATGTCATTTTATTCTCTTTCCATCCAAACTATGGTTCCCTATACTTATCTCTTCTAGTTTTTATGTTATTTGGGTACTCTACTGAAACAGATTAATATGTATTGTATTATTACACATACATACTTGACTGCGAGGGTGGCTGTGAAAATTTGAAAAAATGAACTAAATTCGGTATTAAATTATCACCACCCTGTAGAAGATTCGGTTACTATGAAAACATGATTATGCAGCTTAGGTAGTTAGCTCCTGCTCCTGCAAATATTGTGGCTTTATCCGTCTAACTGTAGAATGTGCACGGCTTTAAAGTAGGTTTTGATTTAAAATTTTTTTTTCTAAAAGGCTAAATATTTTGAAAACGGATAAATTTGGGAATAGGGAAACTTGATGAAAGTCACCTTAATATGAAGTGTAAAATCCAAAAATGTAAAAATATACATAGTGCTCCAATAACAAAGTTGCCGTCAACTTCTGGTATAATCGGAAGTGTTACAGGAACAAAATTATTAGATTTGAAAAGAGCTCAACCAAAAACCCTGCTGTGCCTATTTTCAAAATTTAAATAAGTAGATTCTGAAATAATCTAATAGGCTCACTCACTTTGAGCCATCAGGTGTATCGATGCACTTACACATATTTTGTTTTTTTTTTTCTATAATTGACACATTTTAAATGTGTTTCACACTATTTTCCTATAATTGGACTATGTTAATTGACGACAAAAAATTGCAGTCTAAAGTTAGATTGATATACTTTATTATAATCTAAAGCCCTTTTTTAATTTTTTTTCCAATGTATTTTAACATATTTTATAGGTTCTGATACTTTTGAAGGATTCTTAAGCTGATTTAAGGAATTTTTATGTATTTTGAAGCTGTTATTATGATGCGTGTTGATGTCTAAGAAATCTCACAGAAATAAAAACAATTTTTTTCCATCTGTTCTGTAAAATTGACCTCAAAAAAAATCACAAATTCATGCTTCATATCAAACGGAAAAATCTAATGCTTATCCAAGGCCATCCTTGGTTCGATGCCTGTTACAACTACAAAAAAAAATGACCACTTCAAGTTTCATGTCACCACTGGAATCCAATTACGGGAAACAATAATTAAAAAACTGGTATGGTAAACTTATAAATTTTAATTTATACTAAATAAAAATCACGTTCAGTATAATTGACAAACTTAGTCTAAATCATTAATATTAATTATTAATAATATGTACAGTTCCTAACTGTTAATATCAAAATTCTCAACCTCCTATAAATAAAATCACATGTATATATATATATTTTTAACAATAAATAAAATTATATACATCTTACAGTAGTAAACGAGAGAAAAAAAACTGCTTATAATGCTGGTCCAGCATCTTCATCAAAATTTGGAAAAGGGTCATTCTTTTCCTCTATCCGATGCATATTTTCTAGAGCCGCTGCCATTATTCTTAAATTATCAACACCAGTTAATAACTGCCTGAAAGAAAAATAGGCAGGTGTAAAATAACTGAAATATTTGGTAATCGCAAATTCCTATTTCCAGATATTTTAGATGTAACAGTATGGTACCCCTGAAATAACAGTATTCCATTGTAGGTGCAACAAAGGACATGAAAATAAACAATTTTCATTAAGCAACCTGTGGCTAAAATGTCATGTGTTACGGGAAAATTAATCAAACATTATTACGCGAAACTTAGCCGAACCCTGCATCGCCCCACTTAATCAATTGTTTATAAAGCAGTTCAGTATGGTTACTTGCACGGTGTACAAGTGGACGTACCTTTCGTCCACTGAAGACTGATTTGTTGTTTTGTTTCAATATGCCTTATTCAAGTCGAGAATTAGGAGATAATATGGTATTAATATACTGGGAGTGTGTGATTATTATTTATGTCTTATTTGTATGTGAATCATTACCACCAAGGACAATAATTGAATCCCAAAACAGAGTAAACGGCTGTTCAAAGCTTGTGGAATACCGATAGAGTGAACCTATTGTATGAAGGTTGTGGACAAGAAATACTGCGATGTGTCTTAAATAGTCGAGGAAAATCCAAGCCACAGTACCCGCAATATTACTCGTGAACACATTACCATTTACAGGTGTTGATTGCGAATAAATATCAACGCCACATCAAAAGTTGTTTGTTCGAAAATAAAGATTCATCCACTTCATTAGCTGCTTAAAAAAATTTATTCTAAACAAAGCAACAGAGACAGAGATCAAGTGTTTTTGTCACATTGTAGTTATTTTAACTTATACCGCTTACCTTAACGAGTGCTCTGCACTACTAGCAGCATTTCTGAGCTCTTGAGCTAAACGGTGAGAATGCAGTTCATTTACAGGATTGTAATAGCCTTGTCCACCGGCAGCCTCATCGCCTCGCAGGTTCTGATTCTCTAGTTTCAAATTATTAATTTGTATCTAAAATCCAATTTGAGATTTACTGATAATAATAGAATAGCAAAAAAGCACAATTTAACTAATTTATAGACAAAATTCAAATGTTTCACATGGCTACTTGATTTTTTTATTAAAATATTAAAATTATAATTACAATCAATATCTTGTTTATTTATTTATGAAAACCCCATCATTATAAAGAGAATTTCCTTTTTCTTCTAATGAGGCAAAAATTCAATATGGCGTCCATAAAAAAACAAATGTTAGTACTGCTCAGCACACATTTTTAGAGATACGTTAATACTAATAGCAAAAAGCAATTCCTCGTATCATTTGATATCAGACTATACATTTTTGTCCTAAAATTTTGAGAAACAACTGAAATACAACTAAAAAAGGAAATAACATGAAATCGGTTTTCTTCAAATAATTTTGGAACTATTTGGAATTTTCTAAATTTAAAAACTAATCCATGATCGGCATAAAATCTGCAAAATTTTGCTCTGTTAACCATTTCTATATCTATTAAAATAAGAAAGATATCTGTATTGAACCATCAAAAAGTTGTAACCCTATATAAAAAATATTTTAGATGCGACTTTGATTTCAATAACTTGGATATACCCAATAGTCAATTTTTTAACTGAATAATTATAAATTTTAGAAAAAATAAAAAATGAACAAATAAAAAATGTATGAGTACACTTACCGTAAGAGACTTCACTTCCTGTTTTAACTTTAATACAGTGCTTTCTGCAGATGTTGCTCTCCGCTAAAATGAAACTTTCATCAATTCTATACCCTTAACAGCCATAAAAACATAGTTTATAAAATAAAATACAACAAAAATAAATTTCTACACGTGAGACTTTCCTCTGGTTCATTACAATTTCTTAACCGGTTTTTCAAATTTGTACAAAAAATTACTATCTAAAACATCATTGGTAAGTACCGATTTTAGAAAAGTTGATATTTTAAAAATACATACATTACTTTTCTCCAAATTTTGTTCCACCTGTTCCAATGCTTTTCCAAGGTTTTGCGTATATTCGTGTTCTTTATTCCTTGCCGCATCCAATTCTCTACTTAAAGATTCGCACAATCGCGTCTGTTCGCTTAACTGTCTCCTGGTCATATCCAACTCGTGCCTCAACCTTTCAGATTCACTTTCAGGACTGTGCGGAACAGATAGTGTTTCATTTTTCTGAGAACAAACTGCGCTGTCCGCAAGGAAATCCGGTAGGCTCTTGGAATTTCCTACCTGAAAGTTGCTTGTGATTTGTGAGTTGTAGAAAAAAATTTAACAAAGCGTAATTTATGTCATAATGACTGAAAACAGTATTGACAAATTAGTTACTAAAATATAACATAATATACAGGGTGGTTCATAGCGTACGTAAAATAATTCGAAGACAGAACATCAAAAAGGTTGCTGAGTTTGTTTTATAAATCCATGTCCATTTATTAACAGATTAACATTATAATACTATAGATTCAGAATAACGGCTGTATTATAATGGGATGTTGAATAAGTTCTCGCTGTTTTCTAATAGATGGTGTTACCAGAACTGCAAGTCTGTAGTTTAAGATGGTAGTGCACTTATAAAGAAGTATTATAAGCAAGGTTGAAGTTCAGTGTGTATATATTTTTTGTCATGGTGTTAAAGATGGTTGAATTTTGTGTCGAAAAAAGATTCCACACTACTTTATTCAAAAGAAATCTGCAGACGTGTCATTTTTCCACATGGAATTAAAATGCTGCTAGAAAGATGGGAAAAAGTAAAAAGATGGACAGTACTTCAATGACATGATTTTTACATTTTTTTTTAAATAAAGCATTAGTTTTCATGAAAATACAATGAGAACTTATTCAATATCCCAAAAATAAAAGTTTCTCTTTTCCAGGACATAATCATAGAATACATTCTGTCAATTATAATTTTTTTTTAGAAGAACAGTTCACATTTTTAAGTATTTATATAACATTATATCACAAATGCAATGATATCGAATTTATAGGGTTTATCTCCAAAAGTAAGAGAATAAACAAGACTGTCAAAAGGGTAAAATATTAAAAAGGTCAGGTAACATCTAAAATGTTTTTCTTATTTTTGCGGCAAAAAAAAATTATTTTCAAATTTTGTGTATAAAATTAAGCAATTTAAGAGAGAACCTAACTATGCTCAGTTTATAATAATCTTGCTAACTTCACTGCACATTTCTCATTTTAAATTAAAGTAAAAAATCAAGTTTTTTTTTTTTAATGAAATTCTGCAACCATATCAAAAAACTTACCTCACTTATAGTAGAACTTCTTGGCCCACTCGATGAATTGCCTATAGGCAGATCTAAAGGAAATGATCCTTGAGGTCTAATCGGTAAGTCTAACGGTATAGGTTTACTTGTATTACTAGCTGGTTCGCCGCTACTAGCATTCTCAAATTTAGGTCTAGTATCTCGATTTCGCGTAAAATCCGGTAAATTATTTAATTCCAAATTATAGTTACTACTAGAATTGCTTCCCAAGTAACACTGTTCAATGACTAGATGATCTTGTACAAAGTCAGGCAGGGCTGACGAAAATTCGGGAACTATCCTTGATTGTTTTGGTTCTGGTATCTTGCTGTTGAGATCTGAAGATGAAGTAGAGGGCGTTGGGCGACTTTCACAATAAACCTTGGGTCTGGCGCCTTTATGCTGATAACTACTATTGCCAGAGTCACTACGTAAAAAATGTTTAAATGAGAAAGGATTATCTTCCCTCTTCTGCCCTTCACTTGTTCCAGAGCCTAACAAATAGTGGGCATAAAAGTAAGATTAGATCCAAGAAACTAAAAAGTTACTTATTAAATTGTTGTAATCAATACTTTCGCGAAGTAATAGCTACCACATTTTATGTATCAGCTCATTTATAGGAGTCTTAAATAGGTACAAACTGGTAAGAACTTTATCTCCTGACAAACTATAATACATGAAAAAATTGATTTGTGCTGCTAATCTACTATCAAGAATATTTCAGTGCTTAGAATACCCCGAGGGGCGATCCGCTGATGTAATCTTCGTACGTTTGCCCTGGAATCTTTATGTAATCTACGTAATCTTATCTGTAATCTATGTAATCTATCTGTAATCTACGTAATCTTATCTGTAATCCTCGCTGTAATCTATGTAATCAGCTAATGAATTTCGTCGATGTAGTCGTTATACAACCCCCCCCCCCTACCTCATTTTCCAAAGAATGCCACAGAAACCTCGACAGAAACCTATATGGTGCGATTGGTGTGTTCCGAAGGGCAATCCGCCAAGGAAAAAACAGACGAAGATTACAAAATTTCTGAAATCTCTTGTAATGTATCTGCAGATTTCAATATCAATTCAAAAAATATTACAAATTTCATATAAATAATCAAGATTACAATATCTTTCAACAGATTACAAAACATTTCAGGAGATTTCAGAGTTATTTTAGTAGATTTCAATGATTACTTAAGATTTCAATAGGATTATTAGAAATTAAAAGAAGATTTCAAAATTTCTTAATAAGGTTTCAAGGAATACGGGAAGATTACAATAAGTTTTGAATGTCCATTTGAACAAAAATAATTGAATTAACTTCAAATGTCATTCATTTCATTCATTAACAGTAGTACTTTGATTAAGAATTTCCAGTATCAGGCATTTTTTGGGCAAAAATTGTAACATTCTGATTAAGTTTTTTGTTCGAATGAACGTTAAAAACATTTTGTCATGACAAAAATGATAATGCTATTTTGAAAGTAGGTAAGTATTTTCCCAAAAACTAATAAATAAAAAATATATTAAGCTTTTATTAATACTTGCATTTAATACTTTACTTGTATACAGTGTGTTTAAAAAAGACGCGGCAATATTTAAGGGAGTGATTGCTCAGGTCAGTTTATAAAAAAAGTCCTATAAACATAGGTCCGCAAACGCTTCGTTACCGATCTACAGAATGTGAAATTTCATTAAAAAACAGTAAAAATTAAATTTCTCTAAAACGCAGCCCCTTATTATTACCTACTACAAACAACAGTATGTACCACATTTCAAAAATCAATCAAATTTGATAATTTGAATTTCTTTGTTCAATAATTTAAATTTCTCAATTAAAACAACATTGGGTTTAGGTGCGCAATAAAATGTTTTTTATTTTTTTACTCAATAACGGTGTGACGTACGGTGCGTATAATCTGAGGAAAGCTTTCTTCTTCATAATTGAACAAGGAATTAAAAAATTATATTTTTAGAAAAACCAGCGGGGTCCTATTTTTTTCATTAAAAATAGCTAGTCACTGGTAAGACTAAAAAATCGTTTTGTATTGCAAAGTACGCGTCTGCCATAGCTATTGACAGGCCTAAAATTTCATTATAATATCAAGAGGTTTTGGAGAAATTTAATTTTTACTGTTTTTTTAATGAAATTTCAACATTCTGTAGATCGGTAACGAAGCGTTTGCGGACGTATGTTTATAGGAAACTTTTTTTTATAAAATGATCTGGGCAATCACCCCCTTAAATATTGCCGCGTCTTTTTTAAATACACTGTATACAGGTAAAGTATTAAATACAAGTGTTAATAAAAGCTTAAAATATTTCTTATTATTTATTTTTTGGGAAAATGTTTATTTTATGTTACTTCTATTTTTTTTATTTTTATTAGTTTATTGGATTATTATATTTTTATCTTTCAATAAAAATATATACTTACCTACTTTCAAAATGGCGTTATCATTTTTGTCATGACAAAAAGTTTTTAACGTTCATTCGAACAAAAACTTAATCAGAATGTTACAATTTTTGCGTAAAAATGATACTGGAAATTCTTAATCAAAGCACTACTGTTAATGAATGAAATGAATGACAGTTGAAGTTAATTCAATTATTTTTGTTCAAATGGACATTCAAAACTTATTGTAATCTTCCCGTATTCCTTGAAATATTATTAAGAAATTTTGAAATCTTCTTTTAATTTCGAATAATCCTATTGAAATCTTAAATAATCATTGAAATCTACTAAAATAACTCTGAAATCTCCTGAAATGTTCTGTAATTGGTTGAAAGATATTGTAATCTTGATTATTTATATGAAATTTGTAATTTTTTTTTAATCGATATTGAAATCTGCAGATACATTACAAGAGATTTCAGAAATTTTGTAATCTTCGTAGGTTTTTTCCTTAGCGGATCGCCCCTCGGAATACCCTGTATTTATAAAGAAACTATGAACATTTAATTGTATTTCAAATCAAAATATTGGGTTATTGGCCTATTCAAAATAAGAAAATGAATTCATTCCATATATTGAAAATTTAAGCTTATATTTTAGGATTGACAAGGCTCCAATGCTTTAATAGAAAATTTAGCAATTAATACCATACCATAACATACCAAAATTATTATTTTGGTAAAAATATCAAATAGAACCTTGTTCTAAATCGACAAAATATTAAATAAACAACAATTTGATGTTAATTAGGAATATAGTTAGTAAATGCAACAAATTTGTAGTTATGTAAAACATTGTGACATAGTTTTATACTGGCACAAACATACAAGTGTATAACATTTATTAACACAACAAATTGTTCTTGCCAATTGAAATAAAAAGAGCATATTTTATAGACTCTTGGAATTAAAAACAAGATACAATTAAAAGCAATCTTGGTAACAGTACAAAATGTTTTCAAATGAAGATTTGAAGTACTATATTATGTACTCCATGGCATGAGATATTTAGATTTAATTACAAGTCAACCTTATTTCATATGATTTGTAACAAGCGAGAAATGTTGAATATATTGTTAGATACCATGTTACGACATGTTACCTAAACACCTTGACAATCATTTTAAATTTACTGGTACATGTTAATTTATTTTTGTTAGAGGGATTAACAGAACTTTTAATCCCCAAGGGACTAATAGTGACACTTTACCTCCTAAAATTAGTATTGAAATAGTACTTTTAATTCGTTACTCTAATATGATTACTCGTTCATTAGAAGTCCTTGAAGCTCATAGAAATACATTTTAACTTGATTAGTTAGATCTAACCAAATAACGGCTGACTTATCAAAGAACATAATTAATTCAAGTTTAAACTCCAATATAAGTTGCATTTTATAATACAATGAAACTTTTAAGGTTATTGCATTTTATAAAAAAGAAGAAAACAAGATAATGTTTGTTTATTGTAACTATGACATAATAATATGTAAGGCAGAAAATATATATTAAGGATTCAATAACATACCTATACCTGAATTTCCAGAATTTTGATTTCCTAACCTATTTGATTGTGCAGTACGTGAAGAATCATCGCCTAAATCTAGATGTATATGCTGTGGTAGATTTGGATCTACATTATTTTCTCTTTCATTATTTCCAAATATATTGGATGGTAAATCATCATCTGCCATTCTCAATACTTTAAAAAAAAATACCTACAACCAACCCCAAGCACAAAAATAAACATAAATTTTGACAGCTGACAGTCACAATCACAAAACATATACTGGAATAGAACACAGAACAACAGTTAATTCTATCGTGGTTGAGTGATGTGAGTACAAACCTAGAAAGAAATTAGACTATAGGACCTTTCGATTTGGCAAAAATAGCAACTTAAGAGTTACTCTGAGCTGATGTTAGTTGCTAATAGGTACTATTTTTGCCAAAACGCCCCTTATGTCAGCTACATTTGATTAGCTACAGCTAACTCATCATGGCGAATATAGAAGGACGACAACCTTTTTACAGTTTTCACTCATCGCCCCCCCACGATTGGCAACATCTTAAGAAAAAAGATTTTAAGTGTTTACTAAGCTGAGGTTTTTTCTTATCGTTTTTGTACAAACAATAATAATTATTGTACTACTTATATGTATATCGACGGTCCTAGTGTGCATTCCGTAATTAGCTCGGTAGAATTTCAAAAAACGTACTAAAATTTTTGTTAAGGGGTTGGCGGCCTTGCGATAGAAAAATTGAGAAACTAGGAAATTCTATTGAAGCTAATTACAGAACGGACCCCTAAATGTTTTACATATAATAGTTGTATTCTTTTAAACAACTTTAACTGAGAGTAACTAAGATACTTTATCTTACAAAAGTATTTGTTCTTTTTGCAATAATAAGTTTGCTTAAAACTGAGAATAACTAAGAATTTTAGAAACCCCCCTATCCAAAACTAAGCTAGCTTTTTAAAATGTTTACTAATCTGAATCTGAAACCATGAATCTATACATGTATTTTTTTAGAGTCTTTTTTACTTTACTTCGTCTTAGCTAATTTAGTCTAACGTCTTAGTTTCAGGAGTAAGAAAATAATTTAGTAAAAAAAATATAACTATGTTAGTTGTCAATTAATAAGGTCCTCGCTTTCTAGGACACATGGTTCAGAATTAATGTTAGTTTGTTGGTTATCTAACATTTTTATAATCAGTGGTCCAGGTGACACTAAGGGTTTTTTGGCGAGCCAAACCACATCAAACCCGGTTAGCTCGAGTTTGATTGTGTTAAGAGTTTGAGTTAACATTTGACAGAACTCGCAAAAATTCTTTTGGTTTGGATATCTAATCAATAATGAAATCGTAACCTATAATCTATGATAGTGCTCGTAGCTCAAGTTGTTTAATTATTTCTTATATACTATAGTTGTTATTCCTAATCTGAAATGCAGATCCATGAAAGAACGTTAATGCATGGTTATTAAATCAAAATGGGTTTACCTTGTTCACAAATATTATCTATTCAAACGCAAATGTATCGTCTAAAAGGAAGTTAATAAAGATCTATACAGTACAATATATAAAATGCATATTTACCATCTAATAAACGATTAAAGTTATTTGGATCCTCGATTACTATTTTTTTATTATCAATTTCAAATATTACTTTGTATTTTTTGCAGTGAATCCATTACCAAATTTTTTTATTTACAACTTAACCTAACCAAAACCTCTAAAAAAACGAAGTAGTGACTACTAGGTACGAAACAGAAAATACATAAACAAAGATAGAAATATTAACTTAAGATCCAAACCAACCCACAAGTCCGGTTTGATGGTTAGGCAAACTCTGCCAAACCGGGTTAACAACATTTCTCGCCAAAACGGCAAACCGCAACAAACTATAGTTAACCGGGTTAGCGGTTTTCTCGCCAAAAAACCCTTACTGGTGAGGTGAGACTGATGTCAGCGGCGTTAACGCACGAAGATTAGGTAAGAACATTTTATGTAGTATGTGGGTTTATTATGGCTAAAGTTTTATAAATATGTATTTTTTTGTAGACGATTCGAACAAATATGTCAGATCGTATGCCCAAAATTGATATCAGCAAGTTAAAACAAACAGATGTACATTTCATTAAAGAGGTTGAGAAGAAAAACATTGACAGGGTTCAGAAGTTAATGCGTATCCGAAAAAACAATTTAATCACTGCATCATTATTGGGTATTGGTGTATTAAGTATATATGGATATACTATGTATGCTGTAAGACAGGAAAGCTTTTTGGATGATTTTGACGAACCCGCAAAAACTACAAAGTAATGGTCACTTCAAAAGTTGCTAGTATTCGTTTACCCCCTTTACCTACTGTAAGAGATTTAGTTAAGTTGTATCGTTTAAGAGCTTTACGTCAGTTGTCACAAAATTTCTTGATGGATGAACGCTTGACTGACAAAATTGTTAAGGCTGCTGGTAGAATTAACAACCATTATGTTTGCGAGGTCGGTCCTGGACCTGGTGGTATTACTAGGTCTATTATTAAACGTTGCCCAAAAAAGTTAATTGTAGTAGAGAAGGATCCTAGATTTCTTCCAACTTTACATTTGTTACAAGAAGCGTGTAAAAGCTATACAGAAATGAACATTGAAATTCAGGATATACGGAATTACAATTTTGAAGAGGGATTTAAAGGCGTTCAGGCTCATAATTGGTTTGAAGCTCCTCCACCCATCCATTTAATAGGTAATCTTATAATTTAACGTTTTCTAAACATAGAATATACATTCACTGGAATGTGTGTTATTAATTTTTATAATAAAATTGTTTGTGTACCGAGACCATAAAAATGCAACTTTTAGCCAAGATTTATGTTCAATTTTTCTATCGGCCATAATAATTAAGCTTTGCTTCCTTAATAGTATCTTTGGTTTAGTGTCACTTTTAGTTTAATACCTTAAAAAGCACTTATGTGTCCCATGCATCATTATTAAAATATGACCACTTTAATTTTCACAAATCATTGTATTCTGTATTAAATAATAAATAATGTTTTACATTTATAGGCATTTTGTTTTGAAATTCAGTTATTTTCAGTTAGGACTGATTGTAGAAAAAAATATTTGTGTAAAAAATATTTTTGTCACTTGTACATTGACAATTTTCTTGTACTAGGCAAAATTTCTTACTTTTTTGCACTAGTTACATGACTACTATTGAACTATTGAAGGAATCTGGTTTAATCTTTTTTAAGAAAAAACTGTTTCCGTTATGAATACATACACCGACGAAGATTAAAGTGGTCCTATTTCGATAAAAAGGCTTGTACTGTTTTTTAGGGGATGACTGCTATGGTCATCTAGAGAACTTTTATGATGAAAAAAATTTTGAATTACATTTTTGAAAAAGAAATTAAAATGTCAGTTTTCCCTGAAGTCTCAGAAAAGATTGCACAAATGTGTAAATTTTTATTTTCGTATTAATAAATATAAACGGGTGTTCTTCAAATTTTCATATGTTTTGCACATTCAACTGAAATAATATATGAACATTTTTATGAGTCATTTTGAAAAGTGTTAACTGATTTTAGGAAACTTACCATTTAGTGTATCAACAAATTTGATAATAAGGTGGTTGAAAGCTGTCTCTGAAAAAAATTCCGCTTGGAGTTTTGGACGGTCTTCTATGACACTTACCTTCCAGAAAGAGGTTGCTGAAAGAATGGTTGCGCCAGTAACAGATAAACAAAGATGTAGATTATCTGTGATGTGTCAGTTTTGGTGTGACGTACAATACAAATTTACAATACCTGGTAAAGCTTTTGTACCAAAACCCAAAGTAGATGTAGCTGTTGTTACATTATATCCATTAAAAAATCCCATAATTGATTTACCTTTTAAAATGGTTGAAAAAGTTGTTAGAAATGTATTTAATATGAGGCAAAAATTTTCGATAAGAGGTGCAAGCAGGTTGTTTCCGGAAGAGATCCGTGATAATTTAAGTAAGAAAATTATTATTTTTATATATATTTATTGATAATGGTTAATATTTTATTAAGGTGAAGTAATATTTACCATTTTTATTTATATTAAATCTGGACCTCTCAAATATTAAATAAGAAAGATGAATATAAATAGAGTAATATAAATATTAGTCATTTTTTAATAAAAAAATTAGGCGTTTTCATTTGATTGGACAATGAGTGTAACAGAATACACTGAAAAGAAAAACTTTTAACTTAATGATAACCCCTTATATAAAAGGATCAACCAAAGGGTGATTTTATAAATTTTGTTTTGCCTACTTTCACTGGAAAAGTAGATAATTCTTCTGGACCAAACAATAAACATTACATGCCACAGTTAACATTTTTAAAACCTTTCTGTTTTCTCCAAAAGTCAACATTAAGGCAATTTGAGTTTTGGGAACGAAAACAGTGAGTTTTTCGAAATATTAACTGTATCATGTGTCCTAGTGACTACTGTGTAGTCAAGAAGCATCTTCTTATTGTAAGATATTTCCGGTTAGGCAAAACAAAATTTATAAAATCAGCCCCTTCACTGACCTTTTGGGGCAAGAGGTTATCTATTTAATTTGCCTTTTAAGAGTGGCAGAAAATTGCAAATAACTATAATAAATAATTACAGATAATAAAAAAACTAATAGATTTTTATTATGGTTTTGCTTTTAGGTCTTAAACTTTTTCGTTTAGCTGATGTGGAATACAGTGCAAGGCCTTTTGAGTTAACCAATGAGGAATTTGCTAGACTTTGTTACTCTTATAAGTTAATTTGTGATGAGAACCCTGGGGTAGAAGAATACGATTCTCGAGCTCCTAAAGCTCGTTTAGATGTAGTATCTTAGATTTATATACTTAGATGTAAATTGATTAAAATATAAACAGATTGTTTAACTTTCTTGTTTATTTGTTTACCTGGTTACCTGGTTGTTTACGTCATTCCTTTATTGATCTATTTCCATATATTTATCTTGTAAACAAAAGAGAAAGGTCCTGTGATATTGGAACTTCGGTGAATAATAATTGATTCGTAAGGAATAAAAAAAAAACGAAAAAAAGGTTTTAAAAAAGCATTATGAAGGGGAATCCAAAAATAACGAACACAATGTAAAAGATCATAAAGATACAGAATTTGTATTTCCGGGTTACAAACATATCCATTGCACAAAACCTTTTGTACTCATCCTTTCCAATGCCTTGCAGCGTCGCCTTCAATTTTTTTTCATCTTCGGAATGTCTGCAAAACGTTTTCCTTTCAGCTCTCTTTTCAGCCAGAGGAATAAAAAAAATACAGAGTGCCAGATCAGGAGAGTAGGGTGGGTGAGGAAACGGTGTCATGCGGTTTTTCGCCAAAAAATCACACATAGACATGGCTGAGTGAGCTGGAGCATTGTCATGGAGGAAGAACCAGACTTCACTCCACCACAAATCGGGTTGTTTCAAACGAACACTCTCGCGCAACTACCTCAAAACACTCGGAAGACTTGGTTCACTGTTTGATGCTTAGGGATACTCTGAGTGAACTATGAACAGTGCCAACGTCGAAAAACATAACATTGTGTCTTCACAAGTGATTTGACTTGCTGGGCCTTTTTCGGGCAAGGGAAGTGGCCCAACAAGTCACGGTAAACAGCGATACGAGTCGCTTTTTGTCCAGAAGTCAACAAGCAAGGAATGAATTTCGCCGCGATTCTCATTTGCAAATCTTCGGCTAAAATGCGTTGCACTGAGCTCCACGAAAGACAAAATAATTCAGCAAGTACATTACGCCTTCTGTCCTTCCTTGTATACAAGCGCCCGAATTTTTTCCACGTTTTCATCAGTTCTGGACGTGGAAGGCCTACCCGGGGGTTGAATGTCTTCGAGCGACATGTTTGAATACCGAATACGACGCATATATAACTGAGTTCGTTTCAAGGCAGGTTCTTTCTAAGTTGTAGACAACATATGAACTGCGACCGATGCACTTTTATCCAGCAGAAAACAAAATTTCAATGGCGCACGCTGTTTTCGAACATCAACAATTTTAGGAAACTGAAGAGGTTGAAATAGTTGTCCGATGAAGACTGTCTCAAGGGCTCGCTATAACACGTAGCACCCATCTAGCGGCAGAAGACCAAACTACAAGAACGGCGCGCGCAGCGAATTCCATCCAGTTATTTTTTGGCCTTCCTCGTATTCTATGAAAAAAACTCAAAAGATACAAAAGCTTTATTTGGAAATGGTGATTGATATTGACCAAATTTTCCATGTAGATGACTGACTCCTATAAAATAACTGGATTTTATCAGTCTTAATAAGTTTTTAAGTAATTTATCAAAAACTGTGTTTTATATTCAAGAAATATTTAGGAGTTCTTAGGAATCGTTCTAGAAAAAATCGTCGCTCTTTTCTTGTTTATTTGGCGAGAGGAATCAACCTTGAAAATTTATCGTAACGTCGCCAATCCACCCTATACTTGATGTATATCAAAATATTTTAGTAGTAATTTGGTTTATCAAAAATTGATTCAAATGTGTACTGATAAATTATTCAACAATTATTATTTATTTAAAAAATGTTATCTACGCATCAAGGTCCATTATTGTTTGGTAATTTAACTTTACATAAAATGGGAACAGAATTTGTAATGCAACTGAGTAGTTATTCGTGTAGTGTGAATGTAAAAAGTGTATTATAATGGATAAAGGTTTACAATGTTTGAGAAAATTTAGTTCAGCTGCTTCTTCAACAGTTGAACTGCCCAAATGTAATTTTACTCCTAAGGATTATAAGGTAAATTAGATTACATAGAAGAAAGAATTTCGTATCTATACAAAGAAACAAACATTAATACACAGGGTTATGAACATAGCATAACATTCTATTCCCCCCTTATTTTTGTTACTTTCACATTTATAAAGAAATTGCCAAAGTTGTAGGAAGGTGTGCTTAGAAAATCAATTCATTAAATAAAATTTGTACAGGATTAGCTTTCTCAGATGGTGGTATCAGATTTGATAGATATACCTCTAATAATAAAGATATACGGCAAAAAGGACAAAGTATAGGTACTCTTTTGTTGCAAACTTTTGTCCAAAATTCTCTTATTATTAGATATCACCTATTCAACTTTATGTTACTGTAATTTTAAAGAAACTATATATTTAAATGTATAGAAATATACAGTGTTATTTATAAAAAATGTATATATTTGGCTTGTATTTCCAAAATGTAATTCCAATTGTTTTTAGTACAGTCTTGATATCATAAGAAAGTTTTTTTAACTTGACTTATATATTTGTGAGGAAGAATGGGTGTATTTTACGAAATAATTACGAACAAAAAAAGTCAGATTAATGGTTGTTTAATGGGAAACTTTATGAGAATCGCTGACTTTATTGCAGCAGAACGTAAACGTAGATCAATTATGTAGTGCTGCCGATGTTAGAAAAATGTTATATAAATGCGCATTTTTTAGGAAATATGTCAAAAAAGCTTCTATCTTTACTAATATGTGTCCATATTGACCTTTTATTGAGGCACAGACATCTTACGAAATATATAAACCAAAACAAAATTTAAACCTGCTTTGTTATGTTTCTTCTAAATTTTTTACCGCTTCATCGCTTTGACAATACGTTTTATCGTATCTGCCATTTCACTCTTCATGCAAATTGTCATATTTAGCTTGATTATACCAGACTTTACTAAAAATATTAATTAAATACGCTTAAAAGCCCTTACAAGAAAATCACCGTCCGTGAAAATAACAAAATTCACTAATGTAGATATGAATATGGATGTACAAAATAATGTTGCAGCACTTAATACTAAACAGTTACGGCAAAAATAAAAGTTAAGAAAACACGTAAAATTAAAAACGAGAGTTGAGACAATATCAGTACGTGCTTTTCTAAGTTGTCTGAAGTGAAATTTCGAAGATTAAGATTTAATACTGGAACGTATGAGATACAATGACCAGAAATATTTTACTCTTTTACAACATTAATTAAGGACAAAATAAATGAATAAAATAAAATTATTGAAAGAAATGAAGATGTAGCAGGAGCTGTTACCAGAGGCGGCCTTAGGGGGTGGCGACCAGGGCAATCGCCTGTGGCCTCGCTCTTGCAGGGCAACAACCCGAGTAAAAAAAAGGTTTATATTTAAAACTTTATTTTATCCTTAGCCATTAGTTATACAGATATATGACAATAAAATAAAGTTTGATAATTCATAGTAAATACATATATTAATACCTAATAAGCAGTAATATGTGAATAAATAATATTTCTCGTTTAGATTTAATAATCGATATCAATTAATTTATCAGTGGATAATAATATTTTTTATATTTTGCATGTAAAACATAATTGAATAAGTTCATGCATATATTTTTAACAAGCTTTTAGTGACGTCATTTTATTTTCGTATTCTTCTCAGCAAACCCTTACATTTAATACCCATATCAAAAAATAACTGGTTCGCAATCTTTGGGAGTCCGCCATATTGGATTTAGAATGATGTTACTTAGCTAACCATGCATTGTTATCCAAACTAAAGGTGTGTGCAGAATTTCAACTCAATCGGTTGAGGATAACTGTTTTAAAATTTAGATTTGATCCAAACTAACAAGGCAAGTTAAATAAAAGCTTGTAAAAATATGTTTGAATTTTGTACCTTATTTTATCATTATTCAAAATTTGTCGGCTTTGTATTTGTTAACTTTTAAAAATCTCTTAATATTTGAAAACTCAAAATTTGTAACTTTTGCATTTCTCTCAAATCATCATTCGATTGACGTACATTTCATAAAGAACAAGGGCCTCGCAATGGTTAAGGCCGCCCCTGGCTGTTACATTCTATTTTTTTGCATAAATTTAAAAATGTTAAATGTTGTTCTTGCACTTTTGTTGGATTAATATTTTTATATACCTACCTATTTATTTTTTTATTGTAGGGGCTTTCAATAGAAAAATTAACAGATATTAGAAGAAAAAATTTAAACCCTGTTTTAACCACATATTATAGCAAACCTCTAGCGCTATATCAAGGTCATAAGCAATGGCTCTTTGATATCTATGGGAATAGATATTTGGACATGTTTGGTGGAATTTGTACAGTTTCTGTAGGGCATTGTCATCCGTAAGTAAACACAAAAATTGTTTGCTAATGGTTAGGTTGGTACGTAAATAGGAAATATTAAATAGGTAATTATACAGCATGTCCCAGAAAGTTTAAGCCACCGCTCATTATTCGGTGTTTAAGTAAAATCCAGCAAATAGTATTTTCAAGAAAACAGACCATGAAAAATATTTAGAATGTAAGTATGTATACTTCTGTATTTTTGAGTATATAAACCATATTGTCAACGGTAATACTTAGCAAGTTAAAACTATTCAAGTAGTGAAGTGTTCAAAAATCTCGAGAGTTCATGGCATATTGGAAGCGTTTCTGATAGTAACTTCAAAATTCCCACCAATTTATTCAGTATGGAAATGAAAATAAAAGGAACTTTGTTTTATATTTACATTTTCATTAATAGGAGGATTACAGAAGCTGTTACCGAACAAATGAAAACTTTAGGACATGTTTCCAACATATATTATCATCCAAAAATCCATGAATACTCAAAGAGATTAGCAGAAACCCTACCTGGTAATTTGAAGGTAAAATACCGTTTCACAATAATTTTTGTAAATGATGTTGATAAATGATGAATATTTGTTCTAGTGCGTTTACTTCGTAAACAGTGGATCAGAAGCGAACGATTTGGCTCTGTTAATGGCTAGAGCTTACACGGGGAAGTTCGATGTGTTTTCTTTAAATAACTGCTACCACGGAATGACTTATGAAGTTATGGGACTGACGTCGAATAATTATTACAAGTACCCAGTCCCTGGTGGTGCGGGATTTTCTAAGGTAAATCAAAATAGAATTATATTAGGCGTTTCCTCTTAATCTATTTGTTACTTATTAGGTGTAACAGCGAAGTAACGATAAACTTTCAGGACTGATTCCATTCATCGGAACAAACCAAAAGCAAAAGAATAATACTTTTACCAAAACAATTTCTAAGGGCTCTACAATCCTTCAAATATGGAACTCGTAATTTAGTTTTTGATCAAGGACCACTAAATACATTAGTTTCAAGTTAACTAGTAGCACAGGGAACAGGAAATATTAAAGAAATTTTAGTTGTCAAAAAAAACATCTTATCTGATGTTGCGTAAAACCACCTTTTATGGATTTCGATAGATCATTTCCCAATCAAATTTTTTACTCTAAAATTTACGTATTCATTCATTCATTAATTGTCAAAAACCATAAGAATAGTAGAAGTAACTTTTCTACAATTACGTATCTCATATTCACTTTTATCTTTGTTTTCTATATCTTCGTCTTTTATCTTCCCTAAGACCTCTCCTAATCCCGATTGAACTGGTTACTTTCCTTAAAAATTTTGTTTGGAAACAGTGTTTATGGGAGAATTGCATCAAGTCTTAAGCGATATACAGGGTGAGTCTGGAAAATCGCACCAAACTCCAGGAATGGATTCTATACGTCAATGTAATAAGGAAAAATTCAAATGTTATGCGATTTTCATTTGTTTTCAAGTTGTAGGGTAGGTAATTACAAATTTTAAAAATTTGAAATAAGTTGTTAGTTCAAAAGAAGGATATTTGTTAGTGACGGCATAATTAATACTTGGAAGTCTTATGTACGGTCAGACGAAAATCCTAACACAACACCGAAAGTAATTTTGAACATAGGTTTTCGGTAAACGTGTGCTTTGGTATGATCGATAGTTATTTAATTGGCTCTTTCATTTTGGAGTATCGACTCATAGGAGACCACTTCTTACATTTTTTAAAAAGTGAATTAGAAATAGGTACTATTAGAAGCCGTTCCTATAAACATGAGAATGCGAATATATTACAAGCACGATGCACATTTCGCTCATCCAGGCAAGCTACATTTGAACGAGAGGTTTCCAGGGCGTTGGATTGGCCGCGATGGTCCTATTAGTTGTCCTCCAAGATCTCCAGACCTGACAGCACTAGATTCACTGTTTATGGGGCTGGTTCAAAACTGAAATGTATAAACTTAGAGTGTATATTCAATGGTTTTTGGGTAATTGATCAAAAACTGTTTCACGGCCCATCTTTAAAGGGTCATGGAGTCCTCTGGAATTATTTTTGGAAAAATTATTACTTTTTGACGAGAGGAGTTACTTCTGAAAAGTAGTCGCGATATCGTTTTAAATCGTATACAAAATTATATATATTTTTAAACTGTACATTTATATTTTTTATCGAAGTATTATAACTGATGATTTAGTAGGTACCTTTCTAATCAAATGGCAACTAAATAATAAGATAAGCAAATTTTGCTTCAATACATAAAATAGACACATTATTTGAAGTGGAATATAAAAAAATAGATACATTCGGAATTGCTGAAAAATGATTAAAAATCACCAATTTTAGAACTTGTATCAAACTGTAGGGATATTTGTCGATTTTCATCAATATTTACAACTGTCTATGATTAGATGTTTGCTTCAAACAGCGTGAGAAAGAAAGCCTTGCAAATTTGCTATATTTCAAACCTTCTCTGAAAAGAATTCAATATGATTTAAATAAAGGAATAGAGCAGGCCATTGCGACGTGCACTTTGTAATTCGCGGGAAGTGTTAGTCGCTACGATGCCTGGGCGACGGCGTTGTCTACGGGGACGATTGTCTCGAGCGTAAGTTTATGTTTATAGTGCGGAAACACCACAGCAGCTATAGTGAAAACATAGTATATCCAAGGGTTTAACCTATTGAAAGCTAAAGTACACCAGAGGTAGCAGAATTGTATCAAACAAGCTATGTGTGAATATTAGGAGTGAGGAAGCGATCAATCAGGCAATGTGTTATATTTACAGAATTACAAACTTACCTACTATCTTATACAACAATGGCAAAATAGCAAAATAGCAAGGCTGTTCAGAACTCGTCTAGGCTCAAAAGACGGAAAAGAAATTGTCATTTCTATCATTTATTTAGTACAACTTCGAAACCGGTCCATTTCTGGTGATTCTGCTGACGAATGTCCTTATCCTTATTCAATTAAAAGTTACGTCCCCAATTTAATATATTCTTTCATGTAAATTTTACAGACAATGGTCCCAGATGTATATAGTGGCATATGGGGTGGAAATAAATGTAGAGACAGTCCTGTACAGACCGACAGAACTTGTGCCTGTACGGAAGAATGTGAAGCTGGTTTGAGATATGTGGAACAGTTTCAGCGCAAACTAGATTGCGACATTCCCAAAAACCATATAGCAGCATTTTGGGCTGAATCCATACAAGGGGTCGGCGGTACTGTTCAGTATCCGAGAAATTATATTAAGAGAGTGTATGTTAAAGTCAAGAGACAAGGCGGACTTTTCGTCTCAGATGAGGTATTTACTTTATTATTATGGAATATATAAAAAAATAATTACAGCTTATCGGTTTTATTTCAGGTTCAAACAGGTTTTGGAAGGACCGGTGAACATTTTTGGGGATTCGAGATGCATGGAATTTTACCGGATATCGTTACAATGGCGAAAGGTATCGGTAACGGGTTTCCTTTGGCAGCAGTAGTAACTACACCTGACATTGCAAATAGTTTAACGAAGGCTGCTCATTTTAATACATATGGAGGAAACTCGATTGCTTGTGCTGTGGGTCTTACGGTATTAGATGTAAGTGGAATAAATTTATTCGTTAACCAATGTTTACCAGGATTGAAAATAGTTAATAAGCTTGAAATATGAAGAAAAATTCATACACATTTGTACACACATACAAAAGCATGCATTTAATTGTCTTTCTTTCATTTATTGAGGCGTTCCATTATTTCCGAGCTTTAGGTCGTTTAGGCTATTACAAACATCAATCGTGTTGTAACATCAAACGAAAAAGTCCATAGTAAAATTTCTATAGCTGAAAACTTTTCGAGTTGGTTATCAGTTTCAGAAGACATATCGCTTTCTACTGCTGCAAGAACAATGTGCGCTGTTACAGGTTCTCACTTAGAGACTATGATATTAATGGAAAACTATTTTAAAAGTAAGATTTGAGACTTCAGTTGACTTAAATTCCCCCTATAATAAATAAGTAACGGTTTGAACTGACGTAATAAAATTTTTAACAAAAACTTCCACAATTACACATTTTCCGTATAAATTAAAATTTAAAATATTGCGGTACCAGAACTATTAATTAATTTCAGCACTATTAATTGTCTTGTACACCGCAGATAATCGAAGATGAAAAACTGCAGGAAAATAGTAAAGAAGTCGGTACTTACCTCCTACTAAAGCTGGCTGAACTAAAATCTCAATACCCTGTTTTTGGTGACGTGCGCGGTAAAGGACTAATGATTGGTGTTGAATTAGTTTCCGATTCGAAAACCAGAGAACCGTTAGATCCAAAGACATTTATGAGATTTTGGGAGTACTGTAGAGATCAGGGTCTTATTATTGGAAAAGGAGGTTTATATGGAAATGTAAGTACAAAAACATCGGATGAAACTATATAAAATAGACATATGAATTTAAAAATTTAGTTCCCTAATTAAATGTAGATAATATCAATAATTGAAAAACATATACAAAATTATTTTGTAAAATTATTAAAAAAAAATATGTATGGGAGATTCCATGTCAACAGGGGCACCCTCTGCCCAAAATTTATTACATTCAAAAAAGGGTACCAACATTTTCGTCGAATGCCACTTGCTGTTTCTGAAAAAAACAAAATGACGGCTCACGGTGGTTGGTTTTATCCTATTCATTATCATTCATTCATCAAGTAGTTTGCCCTTTTAACAATATCCAAAAGCTTCCTTGCCGACACTTCTTTCAGCTCCTTGGGTTCCAAGTAGGGTCTTCCCAGGAGCGTCTACAAGTTTTAGCTTATGTAGATGTTTTTTAAAGTGACAGTGTCCTGTTATAAGTTCCGTCACTCTCCTGAGTACAATTTTATTCAAGTTCAGCAACTCATTTGCTCTTTCCTTCAAAGGATATTCCATAAGTTCCTTAGAATGCCCTGGCCTTGAAGTCCAGTATTTCCTGCGTTCTGTCTCAGTCCATTTGCCCAGAGCTCCCCTGACCACACTGGGAGATCTACCGCAGAAGGGCTCCGGGTCAGTGAGCCCTTTCTCGAATCCCTTACTAGAAAGTTCATCATGTTTCTCGTTCTCACTAGTGTCTTTGTGTCCTGGCACCCAACACAGTCCAACTGTATTATTGGTTAAAAAGCTTACAAAATTAACAAAAACATGATATATGAAGTAAGTGTTAAGGGTAGCAATGATTATGTTTTTTTTTTAAATATGTAACATGGCAGATCCAATATGGCGTGTAAAATGGAAAATATGCTTTGGCCAATTTTGCAATGTCTGTAGTAAATTACCACTCCTCATTACTGAATTACATTTGCTGATAGGATGATATAAATTTAATGAAAATTTGAAATTAAATATGACCGACTCAAGATAGCGTCTTAAAATAAGTTAACCACGCTAATTTTAGAAACGTCTTATTTACTGATTCAAAAATATGTCATTTGAAAAGTGAAAATTTACCCTTTATTCAATAAATCAATAAATTCAACATGGTGAAGACCAACATGGTAACCAGAAGGAGGCAGTTTTTTATTAACCTATCCTACACTGTAAAAAAATCGGAGTGAATCCAATGAGTGAAATTTGAGTACATTTTCACTCGATATTGGACATTTTGATCATTTTACTCATTTGTGATTATATTTACTTATATTAACTTTTCACATAAACTAGTATTTGGTGCACTTGCACCTAAATCAGAGTAAATATCCTCATTACTGAGTAATCCCACCCTTTTTCATATCCAGATGCATTGTCTTTGTCTGTTCCCATCGTTCCATTAGGATGTCTCGTGACCATGACGTGGTGGATGGCAGTATGGCGTATGGTGTGCTTTGGAATTCGACAAGTATCGGTTTATCTGGTTAATATAGTTAAAATTGTAGTTAAATGCAGTGATTTAATTACAATAATTAAAGACAATATATTAAATCTCGATTAATATTTGGTTAAATAAACGGATAGTTAAATTGTTATCTATAATTACGTATTTGTAACGTAAAGTATAGGTTATCTATTCTTCCGATCAGTTCACCAATTCCTTTAATCGAGACTTAAAATATTGTCTTTAAAACAGATCTTTGTAGAAACCACTGTGGCAGCTTAGTCATATTAGAGAAAAAGTCACCTCTAAATTGGCTTTATATACTCAGAATAGAGTCAAAAGTCACTCAATTGATAGTTAGCAGTAACTCGGATTTGAGTAAAACTCACTCATTCCTGATGCAATAGTTTCGCTCAGTTCTACTCATACTAATAGAGGGAAAATTTTACTCAATCGGGTGGGAACAGAAATTGATTCATTATTGAGCAAAATTGAGTGAAATTTGAGTGAAATTTTTTTACAGTGTACTGGCCTGGCTGACGTGGAATGTCCTATATATGTAATAATGATACAATTAATTTCTTTTAATGTTTCGATAAAAGCTCAACACCTGAATCTCTACATCAACATTTTTTTTTGGTTATCTATACATTTCAATTGTTTTTTAGGTTTTAAGAATTAAACCACCAATGTGTGTTACTAAAGAGGATGCTGATTTTACAATTAATGTTTTACAAAATGCTGCCCAATATATATCTTAATTTATTGTACTGGACTAGGCAATTAATATATTAAATTTGTATAGTTTTGTTATAAGTTGAGGGTAATTATTTCAAACGTTTATAATCTACTTTTTATCTGAAAATAAAATATACCTAACGGTATCTCAGGGGTGTGTGGTGTAGAAATTTTATTTGCAATAATAAAATTTCCCATATTTCTGTTAAATCATGAAATTTGACAACAGGACACTAAAAAAAAAATTCATTTTGAACAAATTGTTGTATTTAGATATTTTATTGAAATATGTCAAACTTAATATACATTCCTATATTTTAGTGTCAATATTCTTTAGTTGTAAGACAGTTCATGCAAGTAGCTGAACACACTGTACGAAAATGGGAAGAAGGAGCCCCTTCAGCAGTGCTACTTTTAGGAATGCACGTTTCCATGATCATGGCCAAAGGCCTTTCTTGTCATGTTTCTCTTGTTCTATTTATTTAAGAAAAATAAACTATAAATACGATGAACATTCTCCTTCATTTTGGACACACCACTGTGGGATTTCTGCTTCAGTTTTAAGACCTCTCTTCACCAGTCTCTCCCTGTGGGAGAAAAATCTTCCTTCTGCTGCACGTGCTGTAGTCTGTGGATTGCTCCATAGTCTTTCTGCGGCAGCGGCCGCTCTAGGCCATACCCTTGATTCTACATTCGAATCGTCCACCAATTCTCCCCACATGCAAACCTAATAAAAACAATACCAAGAAAAATAAAAATGGGTCAATCTCGGGAAATAAAGTACATAGGTAATTGATTATATTTTTAAAAACGAATTTTGTAAGTCTGATCTCGGATTCGTGATCAGTGACCCCGAAAACCGCCGTATACCAAATTTGGAGCGAATGTGTTATTTTTTGAAAATTTGGTCGGCCGTCTTGGATCCGCCCTCTTGAATTTTGCAAAATTGACCTTGGGTTCGTGATCAGTGATCCCGAAAACCCCCATATGCCAAATTTGCCGTGGATCTGTTATTTTTTGAAAATTCGTGATATCTGACCTTAATTGACCTGTTTTTTTAGGTTAGAAAAAAAAAACATGAATTCTGACCGCCGATTCACGTTCGGCGGGGTTTTAACCAAATAAATGAACATTTGAATATAGAAAAAACACATTTTTTGTACTTTTCCTAGCAGTTTTTCGTGAATTTTTGGTATTTTTGACCTGTTTTTTTTTGAGGTTAGGAAATTCCTGTAATGTGATAACTCAATTCTGACACCGGATTCGTAATCAGGAGGCAAAAACACTACCAATAACAAATGTCGCATGAAAAGTACAGACTACTTTTTTTGTGTGGCTGTATTTGTTATGGCTGTGTTATTATTCTTTTACAGGACAAATATTAAAAAGTTAAACAAAGATACCTCTCCTCCTAATACTGATTGGTGTAACTGACTATACATCTTGTTGTTGTAAACGGCTCTCCAATTATAATACGAGGTACTTCCCCAAAAACCGTGGTCCAGGTACCATTTATCCTTTGTGGATATTATAACTTTATATCCAAGTTTTATTAAAGATGTAATTAAATCTTGGTCTGTATCAGGCACCCAAGTCTGAATGATGTACCTGAGATGATAAAACATGTATTTGCGAGATGCTTAACGATAAATTATTCAGTTTCAGATCTTAGTTTTTGAGATACTTTGAAATTTTAAAACGTCATCTTATGCATTTATAAAAAAACTTTTAAACATTTTTAATATGTTAATTCGTTTATATAAATGGTGTACAGGGCAAATCATAATAATATTCCTTACTCAACACCGTTTGTTTTTTTTCTCCATATTTATTTTTTATTTACCTTCAAATTAAAAAAAATACAGATCACCTCATCTCCCTTAGGTGCGATTAAAGAGATTTTTAATAATTGTTGCTCCAATTAACGTCTAAGAAGATTAGAATTACCACTTTCTAAGCGTTCAAATAAAAACGATGTCGAAGTTGGCTCTAACACATTGGACGTAGGGAGTAGCTTATAGCGACCAACTTAACCTCATTTCTCAACTATATAACTTTATTTTAAAGAATAATCGTGATAACAATAACAAACAATTAAAGGAGCTGCGGAAAGTGTCCCCCTCCTTGTTATAACAATAAATTAAAGTAGCTGCTGAAAGTGTGCCCCTCCTTGTTCCAAGCACTTTTCGCACCTGTTCCTCAAAGAATTAAAGACATTTTCTAAGATGCTCGGGGTATTGTTAATTTCACGAATCTTGTCTATAAGTCGAGCCTGCAGATGGTTTAAATCAGGAATAGGCAGTTCAAAAATAGTGTTTTTAAGATAAGGCCACAAAAAGAAATCACACGGCGTAATATCACATGACCTCGGTGGAAATTCATGTTCAGCATTGAGACTTATTAGTCGATTTTGGAAAACTTCCCTCAACATATTCATCGTCTCGCCTGCCGTATGTGCCCTTGCGCCATCTTGTTGAAAGTAAAAGTTTGTAATTTCGTTTTCTTCCAGCTGGTTAACAAAAGGAGCGATAATTTCTTCTCTATACCTTTGCGCAGTAAGAGTACCATTAAAAAAAAATAGGTCCATAAATCCTCCTTCGATTGAGAGCACTCCAAACTCCAATTTTTTGAGCGTGTAGAGGGCCCTGGACAAAAAAGTTATTTGGTTTTTCAGAAGACCACATTCTCATATTCTGTGAGTTTACGTAACCACTTAAATGAAACCAGGCTTCATCAGAAAAAAAAGGTGATATTATGAAGTTCACCGTAGTTGTTTAAAAACCATTCACAAAATACAGCCCGTCGCGGAAAATCAACTTCATGAAGTTCTTGCTGACAAGTTAAACGATAGGAGAACAAACGCAAATCTTTTTTAACACTGTGTGGCAGGTACCGACTGATACTCCCACCATTTGTGATAAAACACGTACAGAAGTTCTTGGCGCATTTTCCACTATTTGTTGGACATTTTCTTTTAATTCTTCAGTCCGCTTTTTAGGTCGGCCGCTTCATTATTTTCTTGTTATACTGCCCGTTTCATGAAAAACATTAACACAACGCTGAACTGCACTTTGAAAAATTTTGTACTCAACAACGCCGGGAAATTGATTTTGAAATTCTATGAAACATTCCTCAATAGAATACTTCCATATTCCATCAATCTTGCGTCCATTTCTAAAGTAGGACTCTATGATAAACACTTTGTTCTTGAGAAAACACCATTTTAAACGCTTTTTAAAACGAAAATATTCAAATTGATAGCGGCGATATAGCGCTTTGACAGATGACGTTTAAGTTGATTTGCTATACGCTACGCCCTACGTCCAAATTTTCAGAACCAACTTGACCACGTTTTTATTTGAACGCTCGTTATATGGTATATTAAGAATATTTATATCCGTGCGTCTATGTTGAACTCTGTACAGTCTGTTTAAAAGAAATATTGAGACATGTCAACTTTTATCTTTAAGGGAACAATTTTGACACCACCAAGTGCGATGTTGGTATATTCAACCAGCAAAATTAACAATGGATCGAAAACATACTTATGTCTTTGTTGGTAGTTGAATAATTTTTGAGTTGGGCGCCACGCCATCGGTTTAAATTTTTGTGGGGACATATGTTTGGTTTGAAGTCACATACTGGTCCTGGATTTTTAATGGTATCTAGAAGACACTGGAGACATGCATATGGGGAGAAAACCATAAACAAGTAGGAAAAGAAAGTTCCGAAACTGTTTCTCGAAGAAAATACCAAAACGAACGAATCTAGACAAGTCTCACGTCGTTAACATAACATTTGTGCAACTAGATGACCATGTCACAAATGTGTTTGCCAAAGGCCTATATTTAGCAACAGCACCACAATTCCAAAAGAGCATATGGACGCGGAACCATATCGTCTGTGGTTAGCTCTTAAAGACAATGGATGCACTAGCAGAAATTTACAAGACGTTAATAAGACATCAAATGACAAGGAAAGTTCTGCTCAATATAATAACTACAAAATTACCTCTCTTTTGGAAGATACTTTTGGATTACATCTGGTTGTGTGAGGTGACTTGTCCATACCACAATCCGCGTTTTGTCATTTCCAATGGCAGCATCAAATACTGCTACAGATTTATTTTGGTATTCCGCCCATAAATCCAAGAAGGTTTCTTCTGTTCTGGGTTTGTCTTTGATGTAATCAAGAACTTCTTCTGTAGCGTTCCAGCAGGCTATAAATACCTAAAATTTTTCAGGTAATTATAACAATGAAGAGTTATCTACAACAATCAATAACAAGGAATGGTTGATATTAAATAAAAGCACAATCTTTGGTCTTATTATGTTGTTTTGTATTTTAACTGAGCTGGTTGATACATATCCACTATAGAACTTGGAATATCGTTCGACTAGTATAAGATAATAGGTCAAATAAATTTCTAAAAACTGGAGTTATAAAAAAAGTTGGAAATTTTATGGAGATTTTCATCACACACCACCCGACAAAAATTTTCTGTCAGGATCTCATTGAACTTCATAATTTTTTTTATATCCTTCCCTAAATTCTTAAAAATGTGTTTAATAGTTTTTGAAAAATATGCCCCCAAAATAAGAATTTTTCTCATTGCATCACGTTTTTATTGGAACATACCAAGCGAAAGTTAAGTATAATTTGTTATACCTCATCGCCACCCATGTGAAATATACCGCTGTTAGGAACCATTTGCTGTATATCGCCATATAATTGTTGTAACACTTTATACATATTGGGATTTGCAGGATTAAGTTGTCCACATGGAGGCTGGATACAAAAGGACCTCCAAGGCTGCTGATTTACACAAACAGCAAGGTTTCCAAGTCCAGCTTGTTCTCCCCATTGCCATCCATTGCCAGCATGAGATGGCCCGTCTATCTCCATAAGAATTCTTACACCTCTAATTTTTGCGTATGCTACTAATTCCTCAACGTCCGTAGAGGTATAAATGCTTTTTTCAGTATATGCTCCATACCTGTGGAAAGGGAGATCAATAAAAAGCTTTCCTAATTGGGTGTAATTTTTTTGGAGTTATCATAGTGACGTTGCAGCAATGTTTCATGAGGAACATTTTCTTCCTGAACGTTTTCTAAGGGCTTTACAATCCTTCAAAGATGAGACGTGAAACATAATTTTTAAGCAATTATCCATTAGCTACAAACGTGATAGAGTAGATTTCTCTCTTAAAACAAAAAAGTCTTGAATGTAATGTAGAGTGTTCGTCTGTTGTTTGTCGGGAATTAAAATTGCTAATTTTGTGTATATATAGACCCCCTAAGGGTAATTTAGATAGATTTTTTCAAACACTAGCGGAAATACTAAATCTAGCACATAATTCTTTTAGAACATATAAAGTTATCTTATGTGGAGATTTCAATATTGATGCCAACATAAATGCTCAAAATTTTAGGAATTTCTACTTATGTACAATTTAAAGCAAACTATATTTGGGTCTACTAGAATAACAAAAAAATCTCAGTCACTGATAGATAATATATTTATAAACTTTGATAATGCTCATATAGGTAAAGTAATTACAACAGCTTTATCTGATCACGAGGGCCAGTTACTGGAACTTGAGGCACCTGAAACAAAAAAAACTAAAATAAACAAAAAGAGATTTTTTTCAGAAACTAAAATGCAACAATTTAAACAAGAACTGCAAAAATATGATTGGGCTGATGTTTATTGCGTGGAAGACCCAAATAAAACATTTAACAGATTTGTAAGTACATTTAAAAATATTATGAATATACTTTTTCCGGTAAAAACTTTGAGAGAAATGAAAAAATCAAAAAACTGGATCACCCAAGGCATAAAGATATCTTGCAAAAATAAAAGAAATATGTATGTACAAATCGCGAAATATCTACTGAAATATATAAACAGTATTCTCAGCAGTATTCTCAAAAAAGTCATATACACGGCAAAAACATGGGCACATATGTCATATATTGAGTCAACAAAAAATAAAGGAAAAGCCATTTGGAATTTGGTGAAAACTTTTAGTGGAAAAAACTAAAAACGACGATACGATATTAAAAAATATTGATATTGCCGAAAAAAATAAAATAAAAGTTTTGAACAATGTAAATAACTTCTTTGCAAATCAAGGCGATCAAGTCAATCACATTAATCATATTAATGTTGAAAAAGACAATCAATTTTCCGATAACACCATATTTTTACTTCCGACCGACCCAAATGAGGTCTACAATGTAATTATGAGTTTAAAAAACTAATTCTGTAGGGGAAGATGAAATACCAGTTAAATTACTTAAATTTACAGCGGCTGAAATATCAATTCCACTAGCATACATAATTTAACATTAAAAAATAGGAATTTTTCCTGAAAATCTTAAAATTGCTCATGTTAAGGCCGTGTATAAAAAAGCTGAAAAAAGTCTAATGAACAACTATACAGGCCTATTGCATTACTGTCAAATATAAGCAAAGTTTTTGAAAAAATAATCTATAACAGAATATTACATTTTTTTGGAATGTCATGATCTGCTTACAAATGCACAAAACGGGTTTAGGAAAAATAAAACAACAACTAGGGCTATATATCAGGCATTGTGTGAAATTACAAGATTATTAAATGAAAAAAAAACAGTATCATGGCTGTATGCTTGGATTTATCCAAAGCGTTTGATTCTGTGGATCATGACATTCTAAATAAAAAGATTCAAATGTATGGCATTCCAGGTGTTGCCTCAGAATTGATAAAATCTTACCTGCTGAATAGGAAGCAGTGTGTTGTAGAAACGGACGATACTGGCGCTCTCATAAAATCAAACGTAGTATTAATAGAAAGGGGTGTACCTCAGGGGTCGATATTGGGTCCTTTGTTGTATATTTTATACACAATTGACCTGCCCTCAACAGTTGATGTAAAAACTATTATGTATGCTGGTGATACATCTATAATAATCGGTAATAAAAATAAGGAATACCTAAAACAAATGGTGACCGCCACATTAGATTCCCTGGGGGACTATTTCTATAAAAATAATTTAAAATTAAATAAAGAAAAAACAAAAATAATCAACTTTACATACAAAAAGGAGGATAATGAGATTATACATACTACTGGCAATGATATCATAACATCTTTGAATTAGACCTCCTTTTTGGGGGTAAAGATTGATTCACGTTTGAACTGGAAAACCCATGTAGACCATGTTGATCAAAAGATCGCTAAATACTGTTATGCTCTAAAAGTAATAGCTCAAAATATTAATATTCCTACAGCATTTATAGCATACCATCAATATGTTCAATCTCAAATAAAATATGGAATTGTCTTCTGGGGAAACTCTAGTGATGCTATCGATTTATTTGTACTACAAAAGAGATGCATTAGAAATATTCTAAACATAAAACAGACAGATAGCTGTAAACAAATTTTTATTGAAAAAAGAATACTTACCTTAGTGAGCTTATACATATATGAAGTAATTATATTTGTTAAGCAAAATATAAACTTATTCGCAGATTTTAACTTATCTCATTTATATGATACCAGAAACAAAAATGCATTAGTGACTGAAAATATAGTAAAATATAGTTATATTCAAAGGAATGTCCCATATTCATTACTAAAAATTTATAATAAATTACCTCTAGGTATAAGAAATTTATCGTGCAAAGATATTGGGGAAATAAAATTCTTTTAGACAAAGGAATTTAAAGGAATTCTTTGAAGATAATATATATTGATTTATTGTCATTATACTATGTATGTATGTATCAGTGCATTAATTGTATTATTTTGTTCGTGTTTACTTATCAGCATTGTTAGTATTGGTGTGCATCTTGTTTTATATTTAATATTACTTCTTATATTTAAATATTTAACTGTTTTACTATTTTTTACTAGGTATAATTGACGAGTTCTACACCCTAAGGGTATTTTGTAATTCTTATGCAAAGTGAACTAATAAAGATTTTACTTACTTACTTACTCCATATGTAAAATTCGAACTTAAACTAACCACTGGCATCGGAATTAGAAAAGACTAAGGGGTTTCAATTATAAAAAGCGTTGAAGATTAATATTTTATAGATTTGAGCAGAAGACTAAAAATTATGTACTTCTGATTATACGAAGAATTGTAAAAATTCAATAACCAGGATAATGCTAGGAGCATCGTCAACAGGGGATCACATACGATTCAATTTCTCAACAATTACAAATACACTAGGCACAGAAATTAAGGGATATTAAAAAAATCACAAAATTTTTTGTAATTTTTCTCTCATTTGATGCTAATCAATTTCCAGATATCGACGTAAGTATACGCCAAACTAATTAATTTCGGCATTTCTCGGATTTGAAAAAAGTATATAGATTCGAACAATTCAAATTGGATTTTGAAGAAGAATAGTTGTGCTTTCAGATGGCATAACTAATTTGGTAGAGAAAAATTATTTCGTAATGTAACATAACCTCATACATATAACGATAAACTGTGTTTTCGCACTATTAGGCTAGGATATCAAGAAAACCCAACGCGATGAAGCAATTCTGAGATTGGATGCGGATTCAGCCAGTCAAAAACTTTGACATTTTTAACTTACTTGGTCATATTTGGCAAGCTCGGTGCCTCCAGGGGAAAACTTTGCGAGTCAGTTATATGCCAGTGTAGAACGTTCATTTTGGAAGCAGCCATAGCGTCAATATTTTTCCTAATTGTATTTACAGACAAGTAGTTTCTTGCGCTGTCTAACAGTAAACCGCGATGGCGGTATACTGGTTTATCATATACTTGAACACTTTTCAATGTCGCTAGACATACCTCATCTCCTTTTTGATATGGGACCAGTAATTGAAGTAAAGTTTCAATACCGTGCCTTACTCCAAAAACTGTATTTCCTATGATCTCAACTCTGAACTCGTTATCTAAAAATTAATTAAATATGTTTAGTTATAATACAACTAGAGAATTATTAAGAAATGTTCGATTTTTCACACACCAATTGTTACAAGATGGCATCAGGCGTTAAAAGGTGTACAAAAAGAACTGTCTTATGAGTTAGGGAAATGAAAATCTGGATTATATCTTCATTATTATTTTTTTTAAATACTACAAAAACAAATGTAAACATGTCGGCGGACGTTTCGTTTTCAAAACACATTTAAAGAAAAAATGATATACTTATTGCTTTGTTTTTCGTGTATATGCCATAAGGGGCCCATTTATGGTGATGGACAGTTTTTTTCCACGCGGTTTCATATTGTGACACCCACATCGCATTTTAGTTGTATTTATTGACATTCTCTGAATCTACATATTTCGATAAATATTATTGTTTTGTTTGTAAGAATTTTCTAAATTACATACTGTTTTTCAGTGTCAGCAGGTGTTGCAAAAATTAGCAGCATCTAATAGTATTTAGAAGTTTACATAGTTTACATATTATACCAAATAGAATAAAATTTTTTAATAAAATTTATATACAGGGTGGTCCCGAGGTAATGGGCCAAATCATGGGTAGATTACCGAAGCAAACATATTGCGATTTAGCCGAACTTACCTTAGTCCAAAAGTTGATAGTTAAAGACATACAGGGTGTTAAATGTATAATATTATTTTAGTTTATTTCCATTTATTTCTTAATAAATGCAAATACTCGTATTTACACAAAATTTTGGGGTTTGGGGCTCTTTGGATAGAGGAATTGAAATTTGTTCACATTTTGGTTATAGTTCATAGAGAGCGCCAGTTGCCGTAGATTGAAGGTGTTGGAAACTTTTTTGTACTTAAAGGTATCTCATCTTTGGTATCAAATTCTTATTTTCCAATTTTTTTTACAAAAAATGTAGACTTTATGAAAGTAGCTGTCTCGCACCGTTTCCGAGATATTTGGCTGTGAAACTTCCAATAATAATAGTTGAAATAATTAAAATAATTTAGAAATGTAAACAAGGGTTTATTTAGAATTAAAAATTGTAATGCACAGTAAAATAGTAAACATTAGTAAAATGCGAAATGACTTTGCAGCATTTAAAACCTGCTACTAAAGTTCTTCTCAAGTGTTTATAGTTTCTCCATAAACAACTGATTTCATGTAACTCCAAAAACGAAAAACTCACATTTATGTATACGAGTATACAATTTAATTTGTAAGCTAATATGTAATTTTAATTAGATACGAATAATACTTAATAGAAAATAGCATACAAATGACAGCAATAAAACAAGTGGAAGACATCAATTATTTGATTTTCGTCCAAATCCTACTTAAGAAACTTTATCGCTAAATTAATAATACCTGTAGGTACTTAATTGTAATTTAATGCAACAGCATTGGAAGATTCAAAGCCAAATATCTCGAAAACGGTGCAAGATAACTACTTTAATAAAGTATACCTTTTTTGTGTAAAAAAAGTTGAAAAATAAGAATTTGTTACCAAAGATGAGATACCTTAGAGTACATAAAAGTTATGTCGTTTTTAACACGTTTGATCTACTGCAGCTAGCGCCCTCTATGAACTTTAACCAATGTGAACAGATTTCAATTCCTCTACTCAAAGAACTCCAATCCCCAAAATTTTGTGAGGATATTTGCATTTGTTAAGGAATAAATGAAAAAAAACTTAAATAATATTTTACATTTAACACCCTGTATCTATCTCTTTAACTATCAACTTTTGGACTAAAATAAGTTCGGCTAAATCGCAATATTTTTACTTGGGGAATCTACCCATGAATTTTGGCCCATTACCTCGGGACTACCATGTATTGGCCCGTCTTCATTCCGATGAAAGGACATTTAACATTTCTGATTAATTGCTATATAGAGTGTTCTCGAAATATTGGAAGCTCGCTTCATAGACACAGTGTATTGGCGATCCCGAATTTTTTTTATATGTACTTAATTCATATCATCTTATAATAATAGAACACAATTAAGATTGTTTGCCTCTTGTGAGAGCATTGGTACTTACTTGGTACCTGCTATAAATTTTAAGAAAAAAATAAAAACCTACCTAAGGTACTCGTTTTTAAACTGTAGGTTTCGTCCGTATCCAGTGTTAATGATAAGTCCTCAGACATTGATTGCAGAACGATAATCATATTGGAGGAGTCTTGACAGGGTGAACTTTTGTCTATGTTTAGGTTGCTGCGGAAATAGTCAACAACATCGTCTAAGAACGTTTTAGTTGTTGTATCTTGCAATTCGAATTTTATGTTCCTGAAAAAGATTATTTGGAGATTATAAACACCAAGCAAACAAGACAGAGTTTTTTTCCCTAATAGTCCACAATTTTTTAATGGTAAGAAAAAAATTTGGGTTAAAAAAATCATGTAAAATTTGGTCTAAAAGGTCTAAAATATGAAGATATCTCGAAGGATATTTATAATATACAGGGTGCTGGGCAAGTCGATGCATTCCTTGCTGGAGGTTATAGTACGAGTAATTTGTGATATATTTCCTTAATCTAGCATATTCCATTCCGATCTACAGGGTGTTAAATTTTTAATAAACAAAATGCAAATTTATAAATATTGCCGAAACTGCCCCGAATATTTTAATGAAATTTTACAAGCTTTAACAGTTAATAACAATACATGTACGATAAAAATATTATTCTCAGTTTCACCAGTGGCGTGCGCACGGGCATGTCTTTGGATATTTTTAAAGAAAAAAGTGATACGCCACAATAAAACTTATATTTTAATTCTTTGTTCAATTTGAATTTCTTATGGCGCACCATTTTCGAGTACAAAAATTAGAATCGATTTACTGCATGACATAATCGGTTTCATTAATTTGGAAAATAGCAGAAATTATGCATTTAGCTTTTTTTGCACTAATTTTATTACAAAAAATTACTACTCATCGCAGTTTACAACATTAGTCTAACAAATCAGTCTAACGACATTTAGAGTGTACGATAATTCAATAAACATAGAAATCTAAAAAAAAATAGATAAATTTGTAATGAATACATTGAAGATGAATTTTTCCAGACAAAACGTCAGAATCTGGTTCGAGCTGAGGCAGTACAGTACTGGGGGCCATGAAGGCTGGCAAAAAATGGAATAAGATTTCCAGGGCCTTATTTAAAAAAAATGGAGTTGGTGATGGCCCTGGAAAGACGAAACGTTACATTTAAAAATTGATTCGATAGAGGGCAAAAAGTTGCCATGGGAAAGTGTTCTTTTTTTTCAATATCACTTCAAACAAGGCTGAAATGAAACAAATACGGATTTCAAAGATTTCGTTTTTTTTTAATATTTCGAAAACTAATTAGTCTTCATTTTTTAGAGGCATAATGTTGGTCCCCAGATTACGCAACTTTGCCCCCGTTATTCTAGTTAATTGAATATAAGGACGAACTATATTTTATCAATTAAATCGGTTCATTTAATGAGACTTTGTTCGTAAATTGTAATTTAAATCAATATTCTATATTTGGAACACTGGATGCATTATAGTTATCGCAACTTACTGTGAATTAATTAGTAAAATATCTTTTTCTGAGGTGATACTACCGGTTGGATATGGCCATAAATTTAAATGATCTTTCTCTCCACAAAGCAATTTGCATACTTCCAAGGTGGGATACGTGGGCGTAAGTGTTGACTGGGTTATGACTCTAGTGCAGTATCCATTGTAATTATTACACTCCCATGACCATCTGAAATAGAAGCAATATTATCTAAGTACATGTTTACGTTATCGGTATTGATAAAATACGTCAATAAAAGTGTATCTACCTACAATTTTTAATAGAAGTTATCGTTATATTAGTATAAGCTATTTTGAAAGATAAATTAATGGTTAAAACATATCATTAGAATGCGATGTGTCGATACTGTCGTAACAATTAAAACTTACCCATATACTGTTGTAAATGTAAGTACCAGGTGGATATAGAGAGAAAACGCTGTAACGGAAAATGAAATTAATTAATTAATATTAATTTAAATTAATATTTGATTGCAATTATTTGCGTAAATATGTGGAAATTTTCCAACCATACAAATTGCACAAACTTGAGATTTGTTGATACAACTGTATTAACAATAAATACGTATATGATGGATTGCAAAGGGTTCCATACAAAGCAAATGGCAAAAAATGTTGTCAATCTTTTGAATTGTAAAAATGTGAGATTTGTTGATAAAACTGTACTGAGTGAGTTTAAATGTGTATTAATTTCGAGTAATTTGAATGGCGCCGTGAAGATGGCACCACTTACATATTGCTTCTGTAATCTCGACCACAGTTGATAGGGGCCCGTTAGGTGCTCCAGAAAAGCGTGATCGCCAGGAGAACAGGCCTTATTCGGCGGCGGCTGGTCTCAGCTGGTGGGTCTTAGCCAGGACAGGAGGAGGCCCGCAAAGTGAATTAACGTATATCCTAATTAATCATTTATGAGTGATTTATTTTTGCACTCAATATTTAGTTAATTAAAAACCATGTCTGAATAAAAAATGACTTAATAATAGTTAAATTTAAATCATATTAGAGGAAACGTCAACTCTAAATTGGTTTTTTATACTCAGAATAGAGTCAAAAGTCGCTCAATTGATAGTTAGCAGTAACTCGGATTTGAGTAAAACTCACTCATTTCTGATTTCACTCAGTTGTACTCATATTAACAGAGTGAAAATTTCACTCAACGAAATGTGGACAGAACTTGATACATTATTGAGTAAAATTGAGTGAAATTTGAGTGAAATTTTTTTACAGTGTACCGTTTTACTTGCAGTGGTAGTTTTAAATAGAATTTTGAATTAAATTGTACACAAAATTACGTATGGGTAGAAAAAAATAGCATTTTCAACTTCAGATGAAATAGGTACTTCCTTTTTAATACTGGACAATTGACACATGAAAATTTTTTGTATCTATCTCTTGTTGCAAAATGTGCTATTTTTAATTAAATCAGAATTAATGTTTATAGGAAAGTGTTCTTAAAATCGAATTATCTATGACCTGTTTAGTGTGGCAATTTAGAATTGCATTATTGACAACTTAAGTAAGCATAAAAATACTTTTATCATATTTTTATTATTTTTCCATTATTTTCAAGTATAGTCAAATTTTATTTATTTATTTTTTTTGTATAATGTTCAGTTTGTTTAATTTCATTTGACTTATTTGCAAACGAATCGTATATTCATATTGTTCTTAAAATATGTTGGTACTATATCGCGACGTATATGTAACTATAAACAAAACTGAATCTTTATGTTATAAAAACTATATTTACATAAATTAAAAAAAAATGCGTTCTTACTTTGCACATATAGTACTGAACAGTACGCACTTAATAAATAAATAAATAAGTTAGGTACATCTCATTTGCAATATAAAAACATTTAATTAATATTTACTTACCAATCATGCTGAATATATTATTAACCATATACACTTTACACACACTCACTCTCATACACTTCTGGCTAGACAAAAGATGCAGCAACAATGTGATTTTATATACTAAATAATCAAATACAAAAGAGGCTTGTGCTTGCGCACGCAATGATACTATAATGGTAACAACATTTAGATATAAACAAATCTTATAGGGTTTCCGGTGTAACTAATTAAAATTCTATTCATTTAAAAAGTTTTGATTATAATCCTGTATCAATGACCACATAAACTGCGGTGGTCATGAGCGTAACTCGACGGCATGGAAAATAGCTCGTAAATTTATAAAAATAATTTTTATAGTCATTTTTTTATAGCACGCGTCGATGTTTTCATGGTTTAATGGTTCTGGGGTTAATATTGCGGTAATTTAGTTCTGGGAAACTATTAATAAGAATTTCTGTGGCATTGCGGCAATCGATAGTGGTATAATTAGGGAGAAAGTACTAATTAGTTATTAATTAATAACTTATAAAAACGGTGATTTTGTTTTCAAGGCCTGTGTGATATCTAACACGTTTTTTTGGATTATTATGCACTTACAGACTTACATTATGTCAAAAAAGTATCCGCAATTTGTAATTTAAAGATTCTTCATATTACTTTGGAGAATATTACGTATTGAACAAAGAGTTCCCCTAAAATTTTGTGCTATTAAGGGAATTTCTGGTGCTGACTAGTTGGGAAAAACGTATGGTAATTCAGTTTTATCGAAAACTCAAAATAGTACAAAGCATTCATGGTTGAAAAGTGGTCGATGATTTGCCACATTTTGGTCGTCCTTCGTCTTCAACTGAAGAAAACATCGATGAAATGAAGGAAATGGTGCTTGCAAACCATCATTATAGTTTGAGAGAATCGGCATACGAATCAAACATATCTCACGAATCAATTCGCACCATTTTAGGTGATTGGGTATGAAATGAGTAGCAGCACGGCTGATTCTAAAAGAGCTGAATTTTCTTCAATAAGAACACCACAAACATGTTGTTGAAGACATGCTTGAACAAGCTACTTTGGACACTACTTATTTTTTGTATTTGACTATTTCTTTTTGAGATATTGCTAATAACTGTACTTTTATTTTCGTATATTTATATTCATTATGTTTCTATCAAATCATTTCTCATTTTTCTACGTAAATGTTGGCAATTTTTCTATTAATCGACTATGGTAAGGCGCGCTAGTCATGGCAATCACTGAACTAGGTTCGATGTAAGGCCAAAGAGTTGCTAATCATTGTTCGTATACCCACTGTGCATATCCTCATGATAAATTCACATAAAACATATTCATGTAAGCAATTATTAAAAAATCTGAATTTGCTTTCGATATGTGTAATTATTAATCATCGTCCTTTCCCAGGGGGTGCTTCGATCCTTCTGAAAATGTTTGTCGTCTGTTGTTTAAATCTTGTCAAACTTTGGGGATCTTATGTTCTTCATTTATGTCTTTGCCATACTAAATTTTTGTTTGTGCATTGTTTGCTCGCAGTAAAACTATTCTGGACATTCTAGGCACATTTTTATCTTCTGCGACTGCAGTTTGAACTTTCTTTAATGCTGTTGGAACAAAAATATGAAATAGAAACAATTATAACAAGACATTTTTTGAATACAAAAAAATTCTCAGAGCGTCAGTTCGTCAGAATACACGTTTTCGTAAGATTTTCTTGCGAGTGTCTAATTTAATTTTGGCCACCATTTTCTAATTATAGGTTTATTCCTCAATAACGACGCACAGATATAAATTTTTACTTTTATTTCAGATTTCAGTAAATATTAGAGCTTCCTAAATAACTGCTTTTTCAACGACCATTAATAATTTTAACATCAATTTTCGTGTTTTGAAAATTTTGTGAATATTTTAAAAATTTTAGTATGATAGTTTCTTCAAACAAATCGCCTTTCTCTTCTATTTCATTATTATTTCTTTAGTTTAACTAGTTTAACTAAACTTAACTACCTACTTTTTATTTACTTTTACTTTCTTTTTTGTTTTTTTCCTGTTTTTCCTGTATCCGAATTGCATTATATTTTACAATAAGATACAAATATTAAAATATAATAGTTTATTTTCCACACTACTTATTTATTTTAAGTACTTGTGTGTAAATGTTAGATTTAACGTATACTACTTGACACTAAATAGTAATTTTAAATTTTCTTCTATGTTAATACGAAGTTATTTGTTGCAAATGGGTTAAGTGTGTATAAAATTAAAATGATAATTGATAAAAATGTTTCCAATAGTTAGTTGTCAGATTAGATAACAATTATTAGAATTAATCGATATTGTTGATCTTTTTTTGACCTTCAACAGTTGCTACACTCTTAGTCAAATTGCATTTAATTTGTGGTTTGTGGACATGAGGCAATTATTCGAAATTAAATACATGCTACTAAATCCTAATTAATTCTTAGGTTTTGTATGATAGCACAATTATCAGTTTGGCTGAGAAAAAAAAAAGTAATTCTATTATAATTTGCACATTTTTATTTTATTGTCATTATGATATTTCACTTCAGTTTAGTATACTTATAAGCTGTAATAAATGAATGAATTCGTTCGTCTAGTGGGCGTGTCAAAAATATCATCGAACCCATTAGCAGTTAGCAATTCCTCCAAAACTACTCCAGCTTTGTGGCTTACTTATTTACTCTCCCATTTTTAGTGCAACATACATTCTGCTACCCTTTATCCATTGCACTAGTTTGGTGAAATTTCGTTATAGACTCTTTCAGATTTAACTTTAATTGTCCCTAAATAACCTATCTTTCGACTTCACGCAAGATGATGTTCCATTGAAAATACTGCATTCTGTTTTGGTGTCACCTCTGACAACAATGTCCTGTGAGCAGACTGTTACTGTACTATGCGATTCCTGCCTGACGACATCCGTTTTTCAGTCTTGTTTATTGATGGTAATTGATTGAAGAACTTATATTGTTGGTGCTTTAGCAGATTGTTCCTCTATCTTCTATCTGCTGTCGACCAATTGCTTGATTTGGACCTGTGCTTTGATTTTTGACATTCCCATGGCAGGCTCCCGACCAATATCGATGTCATAGTTACTTTATGGTCTGCCAGAAGGTTTTGCAGAAATTCCCACACTAGTTGGACGTGGCTTTCTAATTTGTCAGTCTTCGGGAACGTCTGATTGACAGCAGACATGAGCAGAACCTAACAAACCATTCCCATATGTTTATATTGGTTTAATTTTAGTTCTAACAAACCGTACCTTTAGCTGTGCTTCTAAAGTAATTATTAATCAAATATTTCAAATTTTAAAGCCATTTCGATTATATACTTCTAGTTTTTGTAAAGTTCTAGAAATTCTCTTGTACAATGGACTTTACCACCACGTCAGCAAAACGCTAATTACATCTAATTTGAAATACCCTGTATAAAAATGTAGGTACTATAACAAAATAAGAAACAGACTGTTTTACTCGGAATACCTGTAGATATATAACAATAAGCTAAATTTTTATGTAACTGATTCACAAATATTTGGCGTAGCAAAAGCTGTACCAACAAAGGTCAAAACTCCTTCACTCGTTCAGATTAGTTCGTCTGGTATGATGTAAATAATAAGGAATTTGATATAAAACACTCTCATGGGTGATCCATTTGTTTAAATATGTAATATTAAATCATAACTTACATCTCATATCTAGTTAGACGACTAAGTTTAACAATGGAAGGTGAGGTTCATGGTCAACTTGTTTGAAAACCAAGTTTTCGGGATGTTGAGACTAGTATGTACAGTATGATGCAAATGTATGCTATAAACTAATTATTTCAAAAATGGACGACTTAAATTTTAAATTTCGAAAGGCCATCTTATGGTCTACACTGGTGTTGACGTAATGACGCAATCGACGATTTTTTTAAATACAAATAGGGGTCATGAGACACCTCATTTGAAAGGTCTCCTAATCGTCTATCCAACGGTATAATTATTTGAATATTTATTTGTACAGGTTCAAACAAAATTATGTATTTACTTAAGTAGAATGAATTTACAAGAAATGTTCAAACTGATGACCTTCAGCAATGAATCAATGAAAAAGTCGGCCAGTAAATTCTTCTCTAACGTTTTTTGGAACTTGAGGGGTTATTTGTGCAATCTCCGTTCTGAACCACTCTTTTAACTCTTCTAGACTATTTGGTCGATTTTCATAAACTTTGGTATTCAAGTATTCCCATAAAAAGAAGTCTAGTGGGGTCAGATCTGGAGACCTTAGTGGCCATTCGATCGATCCTCAACGGAAAACGTTATTTAAGTAAGTTCGTACATCAACGGTGTGGGGTGCCCCATCTTGCTGGAATCACACATCATCTCTATTTGGAAATAACCGATTCAGTTGTGACAACAGATTCTATAGAGGTTCAGTTAAGTTCTCTTTAAAAAAGTATGGCCCTATAATCTGGTTGTTTATAATTCCGGCCCAAACGTTCACCTTTTCTGGTTATTGCATGCTTGACTTATGGCGGTTTACGTGGTCGTTGAGCATAAAAGTAACTTCATTTGAGAAAAGTACCTTTCTTATGAAACTCCGATCTCTGTTAGATCGTTCCATAATGGTTTCGCAGAATTTGATTCTTCTACGAGTATCAAAGTCATGTTCCAACAGCTCTTGGAGCAGATGTACTTTGTACGAATACCACTCTTCCTTTTTTAGTAGGTGTAACAACAGTTCATTGGTGTAAATTATTATCCAGTGCGACTTGTATCGAGTATGAGGATTTCCTTGAAACACAAGTACTACGTCAAGTTTTTGGGTTTCAGGAACTGATTTTCTTCCACTTTTGCATAGATCTCTAATATAATCATTTCTCGAAACTTTCTTTTAATTTTACTTGTTACTTGTTAAATAAATTCCTTACTTCCTTAGGTACTTTATGTCCACAGCCAATCAGGCCCGGATCCAGAGACTGGTTTTGGGGGTGGCGCAAAGCACTTCTTTATCATTATTATTATTATTATTATTGTTGTTGTTGTTGTTGTTGTTATTTTGATGACGTAAGGTGTAGGTTAGGAAGGGGGACTTGCATTAATATCGACTAACTGCCTGTTGTCGTTTGGAGAAATTGAAGATCTTTAAAAAATGTTGTGCTTTGGGGGTGGCGATCGCCACATCGCCACCCCCTCTGGATCCGGGCCTGCAGCCAATCGTGATTAAAATTTCGATTCGTTCGGATTCTGTAAGCTACTAAATTATACTGATTTAAGGCCCGGTACTTTGAGTCTCGGTTAAAGCTTGATTAACAATCACCTTATAATCGGACTTTTTACTGTTTAATAAATATATGTGACCATATAAATTAAAAAGAAATCTAAGACAATAAACAGTAGCTTTTTATAATTAATTCACTCCATTTAACTATATTTCAAAATTAAAAAAAATTGTTGCTATCCTGTAGCTGCAGCGCTTTAAGATTGTATCATCAAGATTGTAGGGTTCCATGCTTACCTTCCAAACGGAAAAGGGTTCCAGATTCGAAAAACACTTTGAGAAACACTGCACTAGTGGAATAAAGTAACTTTATTTCACACAGTAGTATAATGAAAAAATAATAAACTTTCAAATTTAATTTAATTTACATATTAACATTAACATTTACATTTATAGTAATAGACATTTCATTTTTTGTTTTATCACATTTAACTTTCTTTCCGTTAATAACAACCCTTGTAGCATTGTTGCTATCATTTTCAGAACGCACAACATCTGCTGAAGTTTGTGAAGAATTTGCACAAGTTGCGGATGTCTCTTTTCGTAAGGAACAGCTATATTTTCCTTGGATTTTCCTTGCAATATCAAGTTTGTTAGATATAGACTCCTCAACATAACTTTCTGCTACAGAGGAGCTCTTCCATCCACCATGCCGTTTGATGGTTGTAAGAACAGCACCTTTATTGACCAATAAAGTTGTTGAAGTGCGCCTCATACAATGGCCAGTATATGCTTCTGGATTTGCGATACTCAGAAATGAAGCAACTATTGAGGGTACCTTTGGCAATGTGTTGATTCCAATAGTACATTTTTGATTGATGTATCTTAAAAAGAATATATCTTGTGTTAAGTGAATTGGGCGCAGATAAATATATTTTCTGCATATTTCAACAACACTCAGGCAAAATCCTTTTTCTATAATTATTGTAAATTTTCTTGAAATCCCCATCTTGGTGTCAGGTATTGAAACAAGTAGGTAACTGCCAACGTCCTGTACGTAAATTTGTTAATTCGCAGCATCGACAGGCACCAGAAACTCCCATTATTAGTGCAACCAAATAGTATATTAAACAACAAGGTTTGAAAACGACTCTTTGCACACGAGTGAGACATATTGGTGGACCGAGCCGAAGGCAAGGTCCACAAGTCGAGCGAGTGTGCAAAGAGGTTTCCAAACAAGTTTTTTACGATACTTTTTATACGACTGCAAACAGATACCACAAAAATCAAATTTTAATTTAAATCGTTTTTATTACTAAAATTGCCTACGCATTAACAAAATAAATTAAATACAACTTTTAATTTAACTCGTTTTTATTAAGAAAATTACTAACGCATTAACAAAAGAAACTAATATTTAATATTTATGGTAACATTTGAACATTCCTTCAAGGTTACGCTGGAAAAAGCAGTAGACGATCGTTGTTCTGGTTATCTGACTATCTTTTTCTAAACTTCCATTTTATTTCTCAAACAGTCATCAACGTAGCCTTCGGCAACTGTACTGGATTTCCACCCTCCATGGCGTTTGAGGGCAAGCAGATTTGAGCCAGAATTGACTAAAATTGTGGCCGATGAACGCCGAAAACAATGTCCCGTGTAACTTTCTGGATTCTCTAGCATCAAAAACTTGGCGATTTCCCTAGCCATGTTTCCAATTTTGTTGATGCCAACGTTTTGGCTTGAACATTTTCCGTTTTGATAGTTTAAAAAAAACCTGCCTGTCTTCAGATTAGGAGGACGAAGAGCACAGTACTTTTTTAAGATAGTGTAAAGGTTTCCTGTAATTGTAAAACACCTTGGTACCTTTGTTTTTGTATTCTTCAGTTTAATCAGCATAGCACTGCCGAAATCTTTGGTGTCTTCTATTTTGAGATAACATAATTCCTCCCTTCGACATGCCCCAGATAGTCCAACTGCCACCACCGCCTTGATAAGTAAATATTTGTCGTCTGATGCTTTCGTCAAAAACCGGCAAAAATCATCTTCTGTGAGGATTTGGGACTTCTTTGGGACGTAGTTTTCGGATTTTCGTTTGATTAGCGCTTGCAACTTTTTATAGCTTCCAAGATCTATGTTGTGATTGGCACTTAACGTTGACTTGAGCATCGAAAAAATCGTCCACAACGTCGAAGATTTATATTTCTTAGATAGTTCTTCAAAATACACCATTACTGCGTTTTCTGAGAAAGTTTGGACATTTTTGGCTAGTCGCCAGTCCATAAATCGGCTTAACTCAGCTTCATACCTGCTTCTGGATTTTGTGGGCAGCAGTTCCGAACATATTTCGCTTGCTTTCTGTAAAATCTCTTCAGAATCACACATTTTCACACCCAAACTTCGGGAATTCAACAATTTTTGAAGTATCTAATCAACAAAATAAAGGAGCCGTGACGGTTGCTATGAAACTCAGCCAACTTGAAACATTGCATAATTTGGGTGACAACATCAAACAAAAATCACAATCTGGAGACGCGTGTGCAAAGATGACATAACCGTGTGCAAAATGTTTAGCACAAGGCGTATGCAAAATACCGTTTTCAGAGCGTGTTTTCCGTGCGCAAAACCCCCTTTTGCAAGACAGTCGTATAAAAAATAATTTAAAATTCACTGTAAACCTCACAACACGTAGAATGTAAAGAGATATTACCTTAATCATTAAATATTCTTTATCGGAAGCCCCAGTCAAAAATTCTTCAATATATGCTCTTTCCAATATTGCAGCTTTTTTTGCTTTGTATCCTCTCGAGTCACTCTTCAAATAAGCAGTAAGCTTGTTATATTTTCTAATATCTATATTTTTGTAGACTTTTATAGTAGCCTTAAACATCGAATACTTCGACCACATAGATGAAATTGCATATTTTTTTCTTCAAGTTTTAAAAACACGATAGCATGACTTCTTCACTTATTGTCCTTACTTTCCGTATTTTCCTCCATTCGTTAAATTCGGTGAACACTTTTTTGTAATGTTCCCTGGATTTCGCTGGCAATAAATTGAAAATTGCTCCTTGAGCTTCTTCAAAAACAACCACAGGAGCACAATTACTTTCTTGCATTTTTACCAAATTCAGATAGAACTGTTTATTAAATAATTGATAATAAACAACGTACCATAGCAACCAGTAAGTATAACAAAACTTACCACGTTTTATTGAGTACTAGTAAGAAATATCAAATCGTGCCATTATTTTTTCATTAAATTCCCCCACAAATATGATTGTGATGTGATTATGGATAAAACGTTGTATTGCATTCGTGTTTTAATTACCTTTTATCCACTTAAGAATATTAAACATTTTGCGTGGATGAAATGCTACTTAAAAGACAATAAATAACTATTATAAACACATTTTCCAATAAAGAGTTTTAACGGATTGTAGGTAATTTTATTTGCTGCAATTTCTATACATTCCAATATTAAAACTTAAATTAGAATTGACTCTATACAGAGTTAAAATTTATTTGATTTACGATATCTAAATCCGTATCGAGTATTAACGCTATATTTATATAATTAACTTATTAAACTTCTAAATCTCCTAATACTAAGTAATATTGCAAATTCTGTTCAGCATTCTAGTTATGACTCGCTTCGTGGATGACTATTTGCAGATAAATTTTTGTTAATTTCGAAATTATCTACGATGTGAGTAGTTTTTGCCACAGAGAGATCATCTGGTCCCCCAGGAGACAAGGGAGTAGGACTAGGAGAGCTTCTTAGACTGTGTGGACTCCTGCTTTCCGTTCTTGGAGAACACTGACAGGGCACAGGTAGGCCTGGGTTCATGAGAGGGTATTCCGGTGGTTTTTCTTGCATCTCCGGATTTCCCGGAAGAGGTGGACCGCTGGGTCTTCCTAAAAAAATATATTGTAGTTAGTAGTCATCGTTAAACAGTCATTTTGTACTGGTTGTATTGTAGGAAATAACTACTATGCGGGCTACATGTCCCGACAATCAATGAAATTTAACACCAATATCTAATAAAGAACTAATTCGAACTCATCAGATATACGCCGGTTATTGATCCACACCAATATGCCATAGGTGAGACACTGGAAGAAGATCCAGTTATTTTTGATGTCTTAACTAAAGATATGGAGGGAATATACGCGAGACGTAGAATGCTAGATAGTTTAATACCTTACTTCTTTAAAAAATATTGCATTTATACTGATAATATATATCTGATGATCATTGACCATGTCAGAATCTTGACAACGATATGTCGCGCCAGTTTGTAAGTTAGCATCTGTCACTCCAATCTATAAGAAAGCACATAAACTAGGTCTCACTATTTATCGGCCTATAAATGTGCTTCATACCGTTTGGGAAGTTAAGGGGAATTTGTAATCGCTGAATCGATAATGGAGTTCCTACTTCTGAAAACGTCATACCAAACCATCAGCATGGACACTTATTTTTACTTTGTGACTGAATCCTGTCTATGGATAATGAATAACCCGTTCGTTACCATCTATCTGGACTTCTCAACAGAGTTTGACAGAGTACCAATGAGAATATTGTCTATAGACAATGGAAATTTGATCGATGGATTAGGAACCTTTTACCAAATAGATTTTTCAAGGTCGGACTGGACAACGCTTTTTTCGCGAAAAGACCTGTCTTGGGTGGAATTTCTCAGGACCCGTATACGGGTTCATTACTCTTTCTCATTTACTTCATTGACATTAAACATCTAGTCAGTAATTAAAAATCTTTTTACGCAGACGACACCAAGATATAGGTTAATCTCATCACTCACCATCGGTCTCTCCAAAAAGACTTAATTTCCATCAGTAACTAAATAGTACTTCATCTTGGCAAGAACAACCCTTTTCTATTATATCATTTGAATGGATACTGGTTACAATGGCAATGCACAACGATTTAGAGTCCGAATTAATTATAAATAGCCATGGTCAGACCATATCAATTCAGTGTGCAAACGTGCAAAATACTGGACTACTTTTATTTCATAAAACTTTTCTATATTCCAGTTATAGGTATGTGACCAATTATTGAATACATTGGTCTGATGTGATGCTCTAATCTCATCCATGAACAAAAGATACTGAAAAACGTTGGATATTTAGCAACAAAGCTTTCCTGCCCTCTTATATTGACTGTCAATCGATGACCAAATCATAAGTTTTCAATTTTCTGTAGCTCTGCCTTCATGGTGATTTAATTTTAACTTTCAAAAGAGTAAAGTACAATTTTGGGCACCTTCTCTGTCAACGCAGACTACTGAATTTTTTTTGTCGCAATTTGGATTTCCCCCCTTCCAATTTAAATTGTATAATAAGAATATGTGAATGGTACTACCCAATACTTTGGCCTTGGCCAATATGTCCACATTGGTAGCAGTTGCTTTTTCAGTATCATTAGATTCGCCTAGTGGGAGGTAGAGGGCGTGCTCTCATAGTACCTGCGAAATTTCAGGTCACTCTTTGCTATATTGCGATCGTAAGTCCTAGACAATGAGTAGCAGTGACCCTTCATAGATATGACATTCGCCTACGTCTCGTGTAGTCATTTTTTTAAGAGAAAAGTCTTTTAAGAAACAGTGGTTAAATTTGACTAACTGCTAGCTGATGTCATTATTGCAGAAACAACCAAAAATAAAACAGAAAAAAGAAAGCAATGGTGCAGAAGATAACTGAAAATTTAAAAAACTTCTTAATTTTGCCTTGAGACAGAAATTGAAGCAATAAATTGCGACAGAAAATGTCTGTTTTTAAATCAAAGAAACGTTTATAAAGATTGTCAAAGCAATACTGAGGAATAATTCTATCAAAATTATCTTTTGAACAAGCTATCAAAAGTTATGCACTTTATGTAAAACATGCAGGATATTTTATTGAGAATGGTTTAATGGGAGAAACTCGGGATCAAAACAGAGCGATTGAGCTGAACAAGCTTTAATCAAATAAATGTTCCGCCGTTTCAATTTGTAGGATGCCAGAGTTAAAATATTGGTAATATTTCGAAAATAGTCGTACCAATCAGGTTAAAAATTTAAATAGGTGTGTGTTTTTTAGGGCGAGAATTGAAAAATAACATTTAACTACTTTGTGTTTATCGGTAGGGTCATTACAGTTACACTTTGCTTTGTGCTGTAAATATGGCATAAATATTTTTGTTCTTCACAAATCGACAGGTTAGATACAAAATAATAGAATCTTGTTTAATTTTGAGTAAAAATGATGACTAGTTAAGAAAATAATAATAATTTTCGGAATAAAAGTGAATTTCTATGTTATTGCATGTTAAATAAGAATATTAATAAATCGTTGAAAAATAAACTAAACAATGAATGATTTAATAATTTGTATCACTTCAGGAAGAAGATATTGAATAGTTAGTTAGAATTGTCAATGAAGTGGATAATATAGGGCATTATAAGGAATTGCTTGGACATAGGTCCTTTGTCAGAATAAGATGAATGTATTATGAAACATCTCTACACTCGAAATAATGCGATCGCTGATTGCTTGATTAGAATTTCGTTAAAGCATAAAAAACAACTGAGTGTTGCGCTTCTGATAGATAACCAATTCTTTCTTTAAATAGGACCCTCTGTATATTTGTCTTGTAAACTCTAGTTTTTGTTTACAAAAAATATAGTGTTTGTGAATAAGTGCGAAATATTTTAGGGGGTGGTTGCCGAAGTTATTTTGTGAAAAAAAGTTCATATAAACGTAGGTCGAAATATGCTTCATTTCCGAGATACAGAGTGTTTAAATTTTAAGTTTTTATTTATTTTTATTAATTGTCAAAGAATTTTAAAGATATTGACTCGAAATTTATCACTAGAAATTAAAAATACACAACTTGCAGTAAAATATGTTTTATTTTTTTCGTCAAAAAATGGTGCATCCTACGAAAAAAAATTAGGAGGCCAATTTCATTAAGAATTGATAGCGGATTTCCAAAAAATATCAAAACGGGAAAAAGTCAATGACGTACGATTTTTTTTATTAAAAAAAGGTTGTGGTATTCTCGCACGAACGCCACTGGTGCAAGTAGAAATATTCGGATCACTCCAAAAATGCACATTGATCCCTCCAATGCGTGTTTCAAATTTCGAGTCAATATCTTTAAAACTCTTTGAAATAATTAACAAAAATAAATAAAAACTTAAATATTTCGATCTACGTTTACATGAACTTTTTTTCACAAAATAACTTCGGCAACCAACCCCTAAAATATTTCGCACTTATTTACAAACCCCCTATATACATGTCATATATTTGATTGACAGTTGACAGCACAATATTTTGGTTTATATACTGATCCTCCAAAGTGAATAAAGTCAAGAGAGCCATGAAACCAGTGCGTATGTATGCTCTTGTATTGCAATCAGAAAAATTGGAGGAAGCTAAAACACGACAAATATACAGGGTGTTTCAATATTCAATTGTTTTTCTATGTACTTCCTTGATATCGCAAGAAAATTTACTAAAACTTTGAATTCTATAATTTTTTATTGCTAAATAGAAAGTTAAACAAGATAAGGAAGATTAAATTGTTATATGAACGACCATGTATACTGGGTGAGTCAAAATTTACTCCCCAGCGGCCGGATATATATTCTAAAATAGAAAATAAAACAAAAATGTAGAAATGAACGAAGCCGTTTTCGGAAAATTTTGTAAAGAAAAATTCAAATTTATATTTTTTGTTTAATATTGACACCATTAAAATCCATAGAAAATAAGAAATAGCAAAAACGAAGATCCTTCTGGCTTTGGCTAACCTTCAAAAACATTACCATTTTCGTTAATATACCTCTGCAATCTGTGGTAGAAACTCCTGGCAACAGAACAGAAATTAGCTTCATTTATTTCCGCTACTGCTTCATGGATCCTGCCAATAACAGCATCCCCGCCAACAGGCATAGTAACATAAACCTTTTCTTTTCTGTATTCCCATAACCAAAAGTCTATCGGAGTCAAGTCAGGAGACTGGGGTGGCCATGGTGTTGGTCCACCTCGTCCAATCCATTTATTAGGAAAACGGCGGTTCTAAATATGTCGTACTTGTAATGTGGCATGTGCGGGCGCACCATCATGATGAAACCACATAATTGCACGTTGTTGTAGAGGAATATTTTCTAACAAACCTGGCAAAATGTTCTCGAAAAATTTACTGTAATTTTCACCATTCAGTTTTTGTCCGGCCAACTTGATTAGTCAGTCGAAATTGCGCATTTATTGAACTAAACTTTATTCGAAAACGGCTCCGCTTTCGAGATTTTAGTATTCTACATTTTTGTTTTATTTTTTATTTTAGAATATATATCCGGCCGCTGGGGAGTGAATTTTGACTCACCCTGTATACATATGAACTAAGTATTCATTCATATTTATTTATCTACTATTTCCAATATAGCAATTTTTATTTTTGTTCCGCCATCGATAGATCTAGTAAGATATATTTGACAATGATTAAATATCAAAGCAAAAGGTTTCTAAATATTTTTTTAAGGATATGTCAATGCATATTAATAAAAATAATAAATAAATTGTTAAATTTTATAAAAAAAAACCGTACCTATTAAGTGTAAGTAACAAGAACCCTTACAATATCTTCAATTTGTTTAAAACTTAATTGTTATTTTTTAAATGTGTATTGTTTGTTGTTAACAAAACATTATATTTTATCTGCAGATGGGTGCACGCGCGAAACGTACGAACGTACGTAATAAAAGTTAAAGAAAACTATGACAACTATTTTATTGACCGATGTCTCAGGAAAGAAAGCAAAATTATGCTCTGTATCGTGTTTACACACTTTCTTTTTTATATTTATAATTTGATAACTTCATCCATCCCAAAAAATAAGTAATGTTTAATTTGGTACATGAATTTGCAAAATAGTTACCCGTTAATATTAGTTGGGGAGATGTAATTCCCAAACAGCGCATTCTCCAAGCATCCTGTAACAATTGAAGTCGGGCTTGTTTCCGCCATTTTGCCCGTCGATTTTGAAACCAAACCTATTAAATTAAATTAAATATTAGATATTAACAAATCATGAGTTTTTAAGCTAGTCAAAAGTTTCATTTACCCATTGCATTAGGGCCAGAGTCTATTTTAAAGTATGTAAATGAATTGAAATGAATTGCTATGATAATTGCGTAGAATTACACTTTTGGGTGTATATTTTCTTTTTGCAACGTATTTTTACGTTTTACGTAGCACTTTTACATTTTAAAATGTGTTACTCCTAGTCCTTTATGCGCTTTTACTATACAGTGTGTTCCAAAATGATGGAACAAAATTAATTTTTTTCCAGTTGAAATTTAAAAAAATCATCGAAACCGGCCAATTAGTAAAAGTAAAAATAGAAGTTGGCACTTTTTCTGCAATATTGTTTCTTTTTTTGAGCCATATTTGACAGACCTATAACATTACCGATATATTTTTTAATAGGACGAATTCAGCTATATAAGGTTATACCTACTTTTTTGTTATAGTTGTCAAAAAAATGTAAAAATGTGTCTTTTATGTCCTACTAACGACTATTTCAAACAATCATAGTCTCTTCTATACTATACAAAAAAAAACATGTCTATAACCACATAAAATTCACCAGATACCTTAGGTATAACGTGAATCGTTTTATTTCCAATTCATTCGTTGTATAAGTCGAAGTATAAAAGATTTATCTGGATCAGGAAGGCGGAATACGCTAAAAATTACCGTCAAAATGTGATGCTCGCCGTTACTGAAAATCCTCACTCATCCATTAGATCAGTCTCAGCCAATTTCTACTTGTCGAAGTCTTCAGTTCACAGAACTCTGAAGTCTCAAAAGTGGTATCCTTACAAAGTTAACGTCTTACAAGAACTATGTGCGGATGACACAGACAGACACATAATTTTCACTGACGAAGCAACTTTTCGCTTAAACGGAACCGTGAACAGGCAAATTACTAGGTTTTGGAGCTCAGAAAATCCATATCGGATGTAAGAGAAACATACACAACGGCCGAAAAAAGTGAATGTTTGGGCTGGAATAGTAGAAAATCGCATACTGGGACCTGATTTCTTTGAGGGCAATTTGACAGGCGACATTTATTTGGATTTTTCATAACCCTAATGAGCACGATATGCCTGCTGGTGATGTCTGGTTCCATCAAGATGGCGCCCCTCCACATTTTCGCCTCGATGTAAGAAATTACTTTCCCAAATTGATTAGTAGGCAGAAGAGGACTGCTTGAATAGCCACCACGCTCCCCTGACTTAACACCACTAGATTTTTTGTGTGGGGTTATCTAAATCTAAAAAGCAAAGTGTGCAATGGTTAATGGGGCCACTTTGAACATTTGCTGTAATAAAATAAAAAGTAGTACTAAATTATTGTTTTCATTTAATTCCTCCATTTTTTTAACATAAGTACCTAAGGTACTCTGGTGAATTTTATGTGTTTATCGATGTATTTTTTTTAGAAAAAAGCTTTAAATTAAGTAGAAAAAGATTAATAAAGTGTAGGCACGTTTTTTAAAGTACAGAAAAGACTATGATTGTTTGAAATAGTCGTCAGTACGACATAAAAGACAACTTTTTACATTTTTTTGAAAACTATAACAAAAAAGTAAATATGACCTTATACTGCTGAATTGTCTTAAGAAGGGCTATCTATTTATATTGTAAAATATGGAGCGTCCTATTCAAAATAAATGTTGCAGAATAATAATGTCTCGATTTATTTTTCTTCTTAAAAATACTATGTAGTTTTTCTGTATTTTAGTAAAATAACACTTTAAGTGTCGTAAAAATACATATATCGATAATATAAATTTATATTCTAGGTGAATTACACAAAAAGTGTAAAATTACATGCCTAATGCAACTTTACCAATGATCTAGTGTGTAATTTTACACAATTTTTTTACGAGAGTAGGCATGGACATATAAATTTAATGAAATTTGAAAGTAATTGCAAAGAGTATAAAAGGAATGTTTTGATTAATGCAGATTTGTGTAACAGATAAAATCAACATTAGAGGCCTATATATACAGGTGTTATTTTTTGTAAGAATGTTAATAACAAGGAGACAACTGTTTCGAAATTTCTGTTTCTGTTACTGTTTCCTCAGAAAATGCTGCTTCTTTATAAGTTTGATTTATTCATATGGATGAATCGTAATAGTAGCTAGTAGGTACTACACTACAGTAGTAGGACATGTGAAAAAATTAGGAAACTCGTTAAAAACTCTAAGTAAACTAAAGGAAAGTGATTCTTCAAGTCATGTTAACAAGAAAAACTCATCCTGAAATGCTGTGTTTTTGATATGTCGATATACATCCATTTAAGGTTTTGACAAACATGTTTTGAATCTTTTCGATGTAAGTATTTCATAAATTGATTTTATGCGAAACTTTATTTGCTTTATTAAAGTGTTTTTTTTTTCTGAAATTAAAATTTAAATGTACCCTTTACCTTCTCCTATCAAAAAGAGCCTCCCTTCATATTGCAACTTGCCATGATTAGTTTTTTAAGTTTCTAATAACATAATTTCGCTCACGTTTTGAGCCGGCGCTAGCGAAGTACTCACAAAAATTCATTGTTGTCTGTGTTGAGAAAAGACGTTTCTTCTGCAGTGAAGTAGATTTACAAAAAATATAACTACAAAATTAGAAACAAACTGTCATTTAATAAGGCTTTTAGAAGATTAAAGTTTCAGAAAATCGAGTAATCTCGTTTGTAAGACACATCGAAGAAAGAGAAATTAAGAATTTTTTTTAATTGCCTTTGAAGAATTACTTTTCCCACATTAAATTTCTTAGGAAATAGAGTGCAGAAATATTAAGAGAATAAATTTAACTTTATAACTAACATTTCGTTTTTTTTAACAATGTCTCCTTGGTTAAAGCGAGATGATAAGAATTTTTGTTGTTTTCTATACAAGTTAATTTGCAGCGGTGAATAGTGTTAATGTCTCACGTAACTACATCATAATAATTTTAGCATTTTGGAAAAATATATATTATATACCTGTATATATACCAAGGGAAATAATGATGGTATTAGAAACTATTAGGGTAGACATAGGTGCTCATTATTAAATCAATGTCGTATTAATTTTTGATAATAGCATATTTTAGATTGATTCAGAAACATGAAATGAAAGCAAAGTTTTATCTGAGTCTGGCAACTGAATCGGAACAATGTCAGGAAGTTTTAAATGAAAATTTAAATGGTAAATAGTTATGTACATAATAATTTTGATTAAAGTCCATCAGAGTTTTCGCTCTTGTTAGTGAGGTACCAGTTTTTTTAACACAGTTTGGAATGAAAGTATTACCTCGAAATATCTCGGTAGATGTTAGAAAAATAATTCTAATTTTTTAAAGTGACAAGAGGTAAGTGTCTAAGACATTTGACATTGTTCCAAACAAATTCAGCTTCTAAAATGAAGTGAAATGAATATTTTTGTTTTAAATATTATATTTTCAAAGAATGTCGAAATATAATTTAAGTCTTAATACAAAATTTCAAAGAACATCGATATAGTGATTTGTACTTCTTTTTCACTACCTGCTTTTTGTATTGCGAAATTTTTAGTTAGACAAAAAGAATTTCACAAAAACAACCTTTGACTGGTTCTGCTGGCACAAGCGCTATTTTGATAAAATTTTTAACAATTTTTTCAATGATGTTATTCCAGTTAAAAACTCCGATATAATTTATTTAAAAAAGTACAGTGTGTTTTGCATAAATTAACACATATGTTTAAAAATTAGTAACTCTCACTTACTTGAACTCTAGCTTCGGACAGACTAATCCTGAGAGCGACTTCTTCTCGAAGAAAAACGTCGGGGTAGTGCGTCTTCTGAAAGAGGGCTTCCAGCTCCTGAAGCTGTTGAGGACTGAAAGTGGTACGGTTGCGCCTCTGCCGTCTTCTCCCAAACATATATTCGGTAAGCAGATCCCCTGGCAAAGAGGATAAGTATGGCCCTGCCATTATCCGTCTTTATGAGGTTTTCGATAACACAGTTAAATTCAAACTGTGTTTCTGAATTGCATGTTATTATAGAAATTAAACAAGACTCCACCCTGCATTTGTTCTCATTGGTTCTCAATAGACGCCTCAGAGGCGTCGGGACGCCCGCGCACAGCTTCCCTTAATAAAATAGTGCTTTTATTGGTTGTTTACCTGCAACAAGTCTCCGTTTTCGCTCTATCGGTTTTAATACTCTTATGCCTTTGAGGAAATATGATAAAATATATTCGTCTTGGCTTTTTCTTCGCAGTTTCAAGTCACAAAAGGGGAATATCAGAAAAAATAAATAAAGCAATAAGTACAAAAATTGTCTAGATCGTTTCTTAAACGAAAAAAAAAACAATGATTAGCTTATTTGAGAGATGGATATGACTACCGTTTTTGTCATACTATACAGGGTGTATTTAAATGAAGAAGCACAAGTGGCTTCTGACCATCTTGGCTCCAAAGTGTGATAATTGCACCAAATAGTTCATAGTTGCTACATTCGCCAGTTGCAGGGAGTTGAAAAGTTTTTTGCAGTTTTACAAATAAGCAAATATCTCAAAATATGTTTGATGTAGGTTAGGTTAGGTCTTAGCCATCTTGGGGATGGCGACTTAACTAAATAAAAGTAAAAAAATCATTGAATTCACATATAATTATATTATATCTGTTATTTTGGAATTACACCATCCAGCAAGTGTTTGATCGTTAAAATCACCGTTAAAATATAAAATCTACAAACTAACAAATAAAAGACAATGGCAGTATGATATGCTCAAATATTATCCATAGCAAACTTTTTTTACTAGTTATATTTGTACAAAATATATCATAATTGCCCTGTAGGAGATTGTAAGTAGTGTTATAAACAAAATGTAATGAAGACAGTTAATATGATAATTTGAATGAAAATAATGATTTTCTCTACATGAAGGCTTTCCACAGAAAATTTCAAGAAACAAAATCTCTTGAGGCATCTCAATAAGAGAATAATATATTTTCTAAAGAATCTCTATACTTTATGTGACCAGAATTCCATATCAACGAAGCATACTCAAGTTTAGATCTTAGGAATGCATTGACAAACAAAAACAATACCTATATTAGTATCTTTAAAACCCATGGACTTCCTAACAACGAAACCTAAATTGTTGTGTTACTTGGAAAATTAAGTGCAAGTTTTTCATCAAAGTCTTTAATGTATTAGGGATGATTCAATGCAACACTGTCTAATTTATACTCATATAAAAGAGGCTCCCTTACTCCGGCTGTATTGCAGAATATATTGCACTTTTCAACATTAAGACAAACATTGTTTTTATCACAACATTTCTTAATACTCGAGAGGTTTATTTGTAATTTTTGCAGTCAGATATAAAACATATAGGAGGAAGCAGCATGCATCAAGTTGGTGTTAACGTCCAGGTTTTCGACTATTTTATTAATAGATGAAGAAAATAAAAGGGGTTCAAGTACAGAGCCCTGCGGAACCCCAAAAATAGCCTGAATTTTGTCGGACATGAAGCCACACTATTAGACAAATAGTTTTTTCTGTTATTTGAATATTTGTGGACAACCAAAAAATTCAGTGGCGTAGAAATGTGTTCCTTACTACCTATTTTCCTACGTCGTTTTTTGTTCTTAACTATTACCTTGTGCTTAAAATTGTATTTGCCAGAAATAATTCTTTTTAAATATTTTGTATGAAACGAATTTTAGAGATATTTTGTTCTTATTCAACTATGAAGTAAGTTGTCTTATAAGTAGTAAGTCTCATTTTAGACAAAAATTAATAACTTGAAAATTATTAGTTTTAAGAAGGGATACTTTTCTGGAAAATGTTATTGGGTCAAACAACAACAAGAAAATGATATTTTGGATACGACCATGTATGATTATTTTCTGTGTAAGTAAACTGCTCTGTTCGTATAAAATGTCAAAAAATATTGTCCAGAAAAGTTATTTAAAATTATAATTTATGTTACTGTGGCAATTTTGAAGACAATCATTAGTTTAACTCAATCATCAAATTTGCATCTTGTTGAAATTAATAGTTGTAAATAAAATAACTTTTTAATTTTCACCTTTGAGGGCCCGTAACTTGTTAACGAAGGCCCGTATGAAAAAATATATATGAAGAACTGATATTATTTTGACATCTATTCGTACTAGACTTTTTTGTATAAAGGACACCCTGTATACAAGTTTTACCTGTTTATTGGAAATTAGGTGTGTAATTCAATGTTGGTTAGGATATGTAGTCTCCAGAGTCGTCGTTTCCTATAATATCCACAGTGAGAGTGGCAAAGACAGGAGACCTTATTAGTATGGCAGGTATCTTCTGTGCAAAAATTTTACTTAGGTCTGGTAAATATAGTTCTTTTATGGAGGTTTTCACAGATGAATTTGGTCAAGTTTTAAGTTTCTTTTACCTTTAAATATAATTAACTAATGCTTAGATATAGTGCGTATAAATCTTAGTTTATCAACTAAAGAACATCACTTAAGAGTAATTATCTATATGTCACCAATATTGTAAAGTATCCTATCTACGAGCATATGTATAATAGGAAGTTATTTTAAAAACACGTAGGTGTATTCCTCTTTTCCATCACTCAACTTTTTATTAAGTAAATTTCAAATAAATATTGAATGCACGACTTTTTATTTTTAAGGAAGATTCAATATCAATTTGCCAAATGAGTTCCGTATACGTTCATGTACAGGGATATTTAGATAACATTATTCGTATCCTATAACCCTTACTTTCAGACTAATTGTAAGAAAAAAATGGTGTGGGGGTGCTGGAGTCCTGAAAAATTTTCTTGAACCTTTAAAAAATAAATAGTTAAAAAATGTCTTACCAGTAAAGTAGAACGCCAAATGTGTATTTTTCATGATTACATACATGATGTTGCAATTTGATCTGGAACACCCCTGTCATATTTTAGTTCGTCGTACAATTTCAAAGATTATGTTTTTTTATACAGGGTGATATGGTAGTGACGTCACCATTACGCTATTTCAAGTTTTTTTGTGAGTAGTAATCTTTCATGAATACCAGAAAATGTGGTTTAATTCGGCACCTTTTAAAGCATCTATTTCTCAAGTTTTATTAATTTATGACTCTTCTCAATTTTTTTACGAAGTTTTTACAATAAGGCGACTGCGAATGCTTCCCTACCATGTTTATGTATCTTCAAGAGAATTTAATTTTGTTAAGGGAAACAAAAATGTACATTTTAAACTTGGGTGAGTCAGTTTTTTGTAGACAAACTTTAACAGGAGATAGAACACATGTTTTTAAAAAGAAAAGTTCCTATAAACATATGTCGTAGAAGGCTTCGTTTCCGAGATACGGGGTGTTGAATATATTTTTTTTCTCGAATATTCATTATAACTTATAAACGAATGCTTAGATTTTTTTCATGTTTGGGAGATAATGGCTATTAATTAAGGGGCATAAAACAAGCCAGAAAAATGTTCAAAAACTTGCACAGTGGCGGAGTGGAGGGGTGCTCAACCGCTTTCTTAAACAGAACTTCTACGCCAATGACTATTTTTTAAAAAAACTGTTATTTTCATTATCTACATATAGTTTAAAAAAAAGGTCCCTTCTTCTGTTTCGAAATTCCTGTGCGTTTCCGAGTTATTTTGATTTTTAGTGTTTGTTGTGGTACTAAATTAAGTAATTTATTTATTATCAATTATCGGCTAAATATTTAATTCTTTCAACGAAACCTACCTAAATATAATTTGTTAAGGATTTTAAAAAGCCGAAAACTCTTATTCTTTATCTCTTTCCAATGTAGACAAAATAAATATATGTTATATCAAGCTATACTCAAATACAAGACTTTTATAAGTTGAAATCTGTTTACATTACATTACATACATACAATACATTATTGTGCAGTTGCCAAAATGTTTTAAGAAGTTGTTAATTAAATATTGTTATAAATTCCAAAAATTTCTCCATAAACATTAACATCAATGTGCATTCAATGTTTTTTTTTTTTGTAATTTAGTTGCAGTACATTAGTATTTATGTAGCACATAATAAATAAGGATTGTTAAAATTTCTAAACAGTGTACTAAACAGATTTCAACTTATAAAAGTCTTGTAATTGAGTATGGCTTGATATAACAAACATTTATTTTGACTACATTGGAAAGAGATAAAGAATAAGAGATTTCATCTTTTTAGAATCCTTAACAAACCATATTTCGGTAGGTTTCGTTGAAAGAATTAAATATTTAGCCGACAATTGATAATAAATAAATTACTTAATTTAGTACCACATCAAACACTAAAAATCAAAATAACTCGGAAACGCACGGGAATTTCGAAACAGAAGAAGGGGCATTATTTTTGTTAAACTGTATGTAGATAATGAAAATAACAGTTTTTTTTTAAAATAGTCATTGGCGTAGAAGTTCTCTTTAAGAAAGGGGTTATGCACCCCCTCCACTCCGCCACTGTGCAAGTTTTTGAACATTTTTATTGCTTGTTTTATGCCTCTTAATTAATAGGCATTATCTTCCAAACATGAAAAAAATCTAAGCATTCGTTTATAAGTTATAATGGATATTCGAGAAAAAAAAATTATATTCAACACCCCGTATCTCGGAAACGAAGTCTTCTACGACATATGTTTATAGGAACTTTTCTTTTTAAAAACATGTGTTCTATCTCCTGTTAAAGTTTGTCTACAAAAAACTGACTCACCCTGTATATACAGGGTTTCTCATAATTAGCTATCTACCCTGAACAGGCCGATACCATGATCAAAACTAAGTAAAAAAGTTCATATAAACATGGGTCCGGAAATGCTTCCTAAGGGCACAGGGACCAATTGAAGAGGGAGGAATGGAAATCATTTTTTTGCAATATCTCTCAATCGCGTTGTGATAAATGAATGAAATTTGGTATACACAGCTAAATTTTGGCGATCAATTTGATGGACTAATCCATT